GTAGCGCCCTAAGCCCAAAACCCGAAAGCACGATGTCAAGCCCGAAAACCTCAACCCTGAACTCTACATAAACTCTATATACACCGTATTCCCTGAACCGCATACACAACTCTAGAACCCAACCCCTAAACCCTACACCCTAAATCCTAACCCCTATAAAGCCCTAAACCCCCAGCCCCTCAATCCCAGCCTCTGGTTCACCTGTCGGACGCGACAGCTGGCGGGATCCTCCACCAGACTCTGCGTCTGAATGTCCAAGGTGGCGGGGCCGGCCATGGCTTTGGGCCGGGGTTTAGGGTTTAGGGTTAGGGTTTAGGGTTTAGGGTTTAGGGTTTAGGGTTTAGGGTTTAGGGTTTAGGGTTTAGGGTTTAGGGTTTAGGGTTTAGGGTTTAGGGTTTAGGGTCTAGGGTCTAGGGTCTAGGGTCTAGGGTCAAGGGTTTAGGGTTTAGGGTTTAGGGTTTAGGGTTTAGGGTTTAAGGTTTTCGGGAGGCCATTGGGGGGGGGGGGGGGGGGGGGGGGGGGGGGGGGGGGGGGGGTGAGGTTAGGGTTTCGGTGGCTTGGTGGTGGTCGCTCAGGGTTTAAAAGGGTCTGCAGGCTTCAGGGTTGAAGGGCCTCAAGGTAGGGAATTCAGCAGTCAAGACGATGCTGTCTTTTCAAGGAGTTCGAGCGCATTTCTTCAAAACAAAACCCGGAACCCTAAACTGCCGAAAACCCTAGCTCTGAGGAACGTGGCTGCAGCGAATTACCCTACACCCTGTCAACCCTGAACGTTTAGGTTTAGGGTTTAGGTTTAGGGTTTAGGGTTTAGGGTTTTGGGGTCCCCAAACCAGAAACTCTTAAGCAAATCCGCCACGCAGACCACAGGCCACGCTTTCCCGAAGAGCGTGTGGCAGTCCTTCAGCATTGAGGGAAGCAATGGTGCAGGCTCTCGGGGATCCTTAGGGTTTAGGGTTAGGGTTTTAGGGTTTAGGGTTTAGGGTTTAGGGTTTAGGGTTTAGGGTTTAGGGTTTAGGGTGGGTTTGGGGTTTGGGGTTTAGGTTTAGGGTTTGGGGTTTACCGGGTTTGGGGTTTGGGATCCCTTTTTAGGGGAACCTTGCACATGGAACTTTTCAAGCCGGCCCTTAACTAAACGACAGGACCTCAAACCCTTAGGTTTTAGGGTTTAGGGTAAACCTAAACCCTAACCCTAAACCCTAAACCCTAAACCTGAACCCTGAACCCTGAACCCTGAACCCTGAACCCTGAACCCTGAAAACCCAAACATGCGGGTCCTCCAGCCGCTCAGATGTAGCCCGCTGGCTCCTGCCGTCCGGTGCCAAAGATGCAGTAGCCTAAGCCTAAGCCCTAAGTCCGTTCAGGGTTTAGGGTTTATAGGGTTTATAGGGTTTTAGGGTTAGGGTTTAGGGTTTAGGGTTTAGGGTTTAGGGTTTAGGGTTAGGGTTTAGGGTTTAGGGTTAGGGTTTAGGGTTTTTAGGGTTTAGGGTTTGGGTTTAGGGTTAGGGTTAGGGTTTAGGGTTTAGGGTTTAGGGTTTAGGGTTTAGGGTTTAGGGTTTAACCCTACGCCCGCCACCCCTAAACCCTCAATTGAGGGGCTGAGGAGGTGGTCAAAAACTACCCGTCCTTTATAGGGATTAACATCGGGGGCGCTATAATCCCTATTAAGGACTGCTCATACAAGAGGGAACATCCCAAGGTATATAATCTGTTCTTATGACACTCACAAAGCGTTAGACCGCAGAGCAATATCCCCAAGAAGCCCTCGTACAATCCCCATAATCCACCTTACTGACCCTACTTTCGAAGCCGAAAGGGCTTCCGCAAGCTGCTCCGTGACAGGACCTACATACAGCAAACCGCAGCAGCAGGTGCGGCAGTTCTTCCGGACAACCCCCCCCCCCCCCCTCTGGCAGCAGAGCAGTAGTTCGCCGCCTACCTAGCCCCCCTACAACCCCCCTAAGCCCCAAAGCCCGAAAGCCCTAAAACCCGACATACTACATACCCTAAATGCCCTCAACCCCAAAAAAACAGCTGCCAAAAAACCCATGTGCGCGCTTTGCTTCGAACCACCCTAAACCCTAAACCCTACACCCTAATTAAACCCTAAACCCTGAAGCCAAACCTTAGAAACCCTAAGCGCTAAATCCAAAACCCTCAAAAAACAAAAAAAGAAACTGCCTGTGAAGCCGGTCAAGTTCACGAAGCAGCCTCCACGAGTGTTCTAGGGCGTCTTAGGGCCTTTTAAGGCGTTTTAGGGCCTCTTAGGGCGTTTTTCGGGCCTTTTAGGGCGTTTTTGGGGTGTTTCAGGGCGTTTAGGGTGTTTTTTTAGGGTATTCCGCGCATCGAAGATTCACGATGCAGAGGTCAGCAAAGCTGACCTATCCGGACCTACCCCTGAAATTGGTGCCAGAGCCGGCTGCTCTCGAGCCAGTGCAGTAGGGTTTAGGGTTTAGGGTTTAGGGTTTAGGGTGTAGGGTTTAGGGTTTAGGGTTTAGGGTTTAGGGATACTTGGGCCTTAAAGGGGTCCCTACAAGGGTACCTTCAGGCCCTCAGAGGAATCACGGCGGCGGCGGGGGCTTCTCGAACGGGTTTCCGCCGTTGCAGCGGCTGTTTGCGCAACGCGCGCGATCTGCAGTGTCACTGTAGAACATGCGGTGTGTGTTCAGGGTATTTAGTGCGTTTAGGGTATGTAGGGCCTTTAGGGCGCTTTGGGGCATTTAGGGTGTTCAGCGTTTGGGAGCACGTAAGTTTAGTCGTGGCCCCCGTTCCCTCTGGGAACCCTTAAGAGGGGGAGAGCCCTCGAAACTCTTAGGCAAGTATCCCCCTTTCAGTGTCTGCGTGGCTTTTCAGCCTTGGGGCTTGGAATGCCTAGTTGCTGAGTATCCTGGGCAAAAAAGGTTAACCTTTCAATTATGGTATAGGATTACATATATATATATGTATATACGTGAAAAGCTTAAAGGTTGCTTGCTCAGCTGCTACTTGGAGGTTCAGGGCACTTATAACCCACTGATAGCTGTAGTATAACCCATGCGTAAGCCCTTTAAGTAGCCTAACCTAGTTATTGTAATTGGGTGATTGGTACAGTAAGCCCTTTAAGTAGCCTAACCTGGTCATTGTAATTGGGTGATAGGTACAGGTAGAATTGGGTTACGAAGTACCCTGAACCTCCAAGTAACTCTAAACCCAAACCCTAAACCCTGAACCCGAAAACCGAGCAAGGAAGCTGACCAGTGGCCGGGGTCTTTGGATTCAGGAGGAAGGTTGAGGATGCCAGATGCCGGAGCTGAAGCGCCTAGATGGGTTTAGGGTTCGGGGTTTAGGGTTTAGGGTTTAGGGTCATCCACAAGCATCTAAGTCCTGAGACCTGCATCGGATTCACTTGCGGATCTTTGTGCTGTACATACGCTCTTGCAATGAAGGACGACACTACCATCACAGGGCTGCTCAAAAAGCAACAGTCCCCGTCCCCCTCCCTCCCCCGCCAACAAATAAGCATCTAAGACCGAAAGTAGCAGAGAATGTTTTCTTGTCTTTGTAAATTGTAGTCTCAACTACTCCACGAAGCTTTTAAGTGGGGGGTTGGGGGGGGGGGGGGGGGGGGGGGGGGGGGGGGGGGGGGGGAGGGAATTCCGAAATCCGGAAGGCCGCAGTTGTTTTTGAAAGGAGGATCATGCTTTGGATAAAAATATTTGTATTTTCATTTATATTTTTATGTAGGTATATATATATATATATATATGTATATATATATATATATATCGATAGATATATGTTCTGGTTTTTTTTGGGGGGGACCAGCGAGTATTAGGTCCTAAGCTCAACCCCTAAACCCTGACGGCCGCCTTCGCGTGCCTTCCCGCAGGACGTCGTTGCAGTTCGCAAGCTGGCAGATCCAAGCCTCCGCTACTTGGAGGTTCATGGTCCTTATGAACCAGCTATGACTGGGTAGTTTAGGGTTTAGGGTTTAGGGTTTAGGGTTTAGGGTTTAGGGTACTTACTAACCAATTATAACTGTACTCATGACTGTACTTATAAACGCATATTAGGGCACTTAAGGGGCTTATAAGTGGGTTATAGGGACGGTTACAATTGGTTCATAAGTACCATGAACCCCCAAGTATTCATTTATTCCAGGGCCGTGCCCGCAGCTCTAGAGCCCAAATCCGAGTACGCCCAAAGGAAGTAGGGGTCGGGGTTTAGGGTCTATAGGAACTCTAGGGGGCTGATGGGGGTTGGGGGCTCGGTTCGGGATGTGGGGTCTAGAGTCGAATTTGGTTTTAGTCAGGGTTGGGGCTTGTGGTTTTTGGTGTTTGGGGTTAGGGCTTAGGGCTGTCGGGGTTTCGGTTAGATGTGCGCTTTGGTGAAAAACGAGGGCATGTTGGGTTCGAGAGGTTCTGTGCCCTAAGAGGTGCCCTTCCGGGAGGTCTCAGAGCCTCAGGGGATTTATAACCCTAAACCCTAAACCCTAAACCCTAAACCCTAAACCCTAAACCCTAAACCCTGAACCCTGAACCCTAAACCCTAAACCCTAAACCCTAAACCCTGAACCCTTCGTTCGGAGCTGCTGGCTCCCCCTACCTCGGATGTCATCGCCGGGCCGACTTGGAGCTGGCATAGACAGATAAGGATAGAAGCCCATCGCAATGCCTGACGTTGCCTGACCAAAGCCTCTGACAGCCCTGATGCCTTGAAAACGCAAGGGGGGGCAGACAACGTCTGGCCCGAGGAACTTCACCGGGACACCGGTCCTTACAGGGCATCAAAGGCCCGCACCACCAGTGCCTCTGTACTGTACCGACCCGCCGGGGTTAGCGGCAACGGCGTTGGCTTCTGAGTACTCTGTTCAATGACGTTCTCTGATGATTATTACTTTCCTCCTGCCCTCGTCCCTAGGCCAACGAATTTGTGGGGCTTAGGGTTGCAGGTTGCCTTGTTGCGCGCCTAGACCCCTAAACCCTTGCAAAATTGATTAACCATCTTTATCGTATCATTGTGTAATATCAAGTCCTTCCTTATCAAAGGACAATTTGAAAACACCTAAACCATCAACCCTAAACCCTAAACCCCTAGGCCCCTAAACAAGGGGGCTGTCGACTTCATCCCCTCTTGGCCCCCTGGTTCTTAGTAGGGAATGAAGAAATTAGGGGCCTACATATATATATATATATACATATACATATATGTGTGTTTATATACCCCTTAAGGGATTACATACCCTAAACCCTAAACCCTAATCCCTGCTCTAAGATCCCTTGGTCACCCCACCGGCGGCCACCGCTCTCGGCTGGCGCGGGCGTCGGAGAGGCCGGCTGCGGAAAGGGCTTAGGGTTTAGGATTTAGGGTTTAAGGGTTAAGGGGTTAAGGGTTTAGGGTTTACTGCATTTGGCTTACCACTGTGAGAGAGAGAGAGGGTCTCGGAGTTCAGGGCTTCGAGGGTGCAGGAAGTAACCCTAAACCCTAAACCCCAAACCCTTCGAGGGCTGAGTGGGCCTTTAGGATTCGAGCATGCTGAGTCTCGTCTTTGGGGATTCCGGCGAGGCTGGGGGTGCAGGATTTACGGTGGTCTTATAAGGTTTAGGGCTTAGGGCTTAGGGGGTTAGGGTTTAGGGTTTAGGGTTTAGGGCTTAGGGGGTTAGGGTTTAGGGCTTAGGGTTTAGGGCTTAGGGGTTTAGGGTTTAGGGTTGAGGGTTTGGGTTTAAGGTTCTATCTTAAGAAACCTATCAAAGAACAGTGGCAATATACAGGAACACAGATCGTCGTAACACTGTTAGTAAGCAGACAAACATTGTACTCTGCTAAACTAGCAATGGCGTGCCTCCGGGACATTGCGCACATGTGACATCTTTTCGAAAGAGGCGGATGACAAGTCGCGAAGGTGGGAAGCTAATTACCTCGTCCGAACAGCTTCTAATCAATTTTTTAAAATGGAGGCGCTAAGACCACTATTTGCTTAAGAACCCCCCAAAACATGGAAAAAGTGGTATCCCTGTATACCTATACCCTTTTTTGCCCTTATAAGGAAGAATGTTTTTTGGAATTTTTTGGGGGGTTCTTCTGCAAATAGTCGGAGGGCCGGCTGGATCATGGTGGGCGTCACCCCTCCACCTTGCACTCCTTGGTTTAGGGTTTAGGGTTTAGGGTTTAGGGTTTAGGGTTTAGGGTTTAGGGCCACCAAGACTCAAAGTGGAGCACGCCTCGGAAATCCTTCCGGGCCTGGAAGTACGAGCCCTCTGGCATCGGCATGCCGCACATCATCCGCACCTTGCTGTCCCAATCATCAGGGAATAAGAAAAGTAGGTTAAGCTTATACTTCCTATAAGAAGGCAACCCTAAACCCTAAACCCTAAACCCTAAACCCTGAACCCTAAACCCTAAACCCTAAACCCTAAACCCCACAATAAAGCTGCTAAAGTTCAACTGTGGCTGAGTATTCAGGGCACCTCCTGGAGAGCAGCAATGTTGTCGCCACCCAAGGCGAAGAACTTCTTGGCGTCGACGGTCCATCGCAGGGTGGTGCCATCCCAACCTTAGGGTTTGTGTTTAGGGTTTAGGGTTTAGGGTTTAGGGTTTAGGGTTTAGGGTTTAGGGTTTAGGGTTTAGGGTTTAGGGTTTAGGGTTTAGGGTTTAGGGTTTAGGGTTTTGCGTTTAGGGTTTAGGGTTTAGGGTTTAGGGTTTAGGGTTTAGGGTTTAGGGTTTTGCGTTTAGGGTTTAGGGTTTAGTGTTTAGGGTTTGTGTTTAGGGTTTAGTAAGGTTTAGGGCTTAAGAAAGGTTAAACTTTACCATTCCTACTAAACACGGAAACCCAAAAAGTTTGAAGTTCAGCTGTTGGCTAAGTAATCAACCTCGGCCACGGCCATCAAACACCCTCTGAAAGATGTTCCTAAACATGATCCTCTTCCCCAAAAATGTTAAACTTCATAAATACACATACATAAATAAGTAAATGAATACACAAATAAATATACATAAATAAGTAAGCAAATAAGAAAAACAGTATATATATATATATATTTATGTATATGTATATATGTATATATCTAGAATGTATATATATGTATATATGTATATATGTACATATATATATATATGTGTGTATATGTAAACCCTAAATAGCACCCGACCTAGACACTATCGATCGTGATCTTCTGGTCGTCCTCACCAGGGTCAAACCTCGATGTGGCTGGCCTCGTCATGGGTTCCCCTGCTACCGCCCCCTCTATGCTACTGCGGGTTTGGTGTTTAGGGTTCAGGGTGTAGGGTTAAGGTTCCCCCCGCAATTAAGGCTATTTAGCGATGCGATAACTAAGCTATTTAGGGACAACTACGTAAGCCGAATTAAGGTTATTAAGGGGGGGGGGGGGTACCCTAAACCCAGAACCACCCTAAACCCTAAACCCTACACCCGAAACCCTAAACCCTGCAAGGAAGTAGGGAAACCTCGATGTGGGTGGCCTCGCGGTCACTCTCCAGCCCTCGGGCACTTCGAGGTCTGGGACCTCCAGCCGCTCCATGCTCATGAACCTCGGTTGGGGTTTAGGGTTTAGGGTTTAGGGTTTAGGGTTGAGGGTTGAGGGTTTAGGGTTGAACCCTGTAATTTGCTTTCTATCCCCACAAGCCCTAGGAACCTAAACCCAAGAGCAAGCTAGGAACTCGAGCATCTCCTGTAGAGCCTCGACGCTGTCACCGGCAGCTGGTACTCGACCAAACTTGATGCCGAAGCTGCTCGTCCTAAGGTGGCCCAGCAACCAAGAAGACCCCCTTCACCTCTTTGAGGGTGCTTTGGGGTTTAGGGTTTAGGGTTTAGGGTTAGGGTTTAGGGTTTAGGGTTTAGGGTTTCGGGTTTAGGGTTTAGGGTTTAGGGTTTAGGGTTTAGGGCTTAGGGTTTAGGGTTTCGGGTTTAGGGTTTCGGGTTTAGGGATTGGGGTTCGGGGTTTAGAGACTCTCAGGGTAAGTACATCGTCCCTTAGTATGGGCCCTTAGAAGGGGACCCCCTTGTTACCCCTTTCTTTCCCTATTCAACCCAAGGGTACTATGCTCCCTGTAGAACCTTACTGCAATATTTCAAAAACACTCCCTGGGGCTTATAGAAGAAAGAAAAAAGTAATTTCTAAAGGGGGCTAACTATGGAGTAGAAAAGGCCAGCAGCCCTATTCTGATGTAATTACCTGCTGGTGAACCCAGAACCCAAGACGGGCAAAAGGGTACCACTCGGCTACCAAGCTTCTCCCCGATGCAGTTGTAAAGCGACGGGGCGGTCGCACCTGCGGGTGTCAACGAGCCTGTGTAGGTGTGCTCGAACACCTATACTGAACTTGGAACCCTAGCAAAAATTATTATTTTAGCTGTTTCTTATATATATATATATATTATAGGAATTAAAGTGCCCAAACAATAAAATATTCCAAGCATCCCTAAGACACGGGGTGCTTGTCAATCCACGCTTCTGCGCTGGCCTGGAAGGACTCGGCGCTCATGGCGCAATCTGGCACGGTAGCCCCCTATCAAGTCTATCCTGGCCCTAGCGCCTTGAGCGAAACGCCTCCCATGACCACAGCCGTCAGCAAGCAGCGGCGTCACGAGCAGCCTGAGCGATACGGCATGCATACAGGTTGGCTTTTTAAGCAGCGCGCTTGATGCAGGGGATACTTCCTCTCGAACATGTCCACGCAAGATTCTACTCGCAGTGCCCAGCCGGCCTTATCGTATAAAAAACAAAAACCTACATGAGCCTGGGAGGGGTTGAGCTGCTATCTCACTAAGAGCCTTGTGATTCAACATGAATCTCATCCCATTCTGTCCCTTAAAACCCTGAACCCTGAACTAGTTCATGGTTGGGATAGTAGTAAAAACTTGAATTTCTATTCCTTAAGGTTGAGTTTAAAGTACCCTTAAACGCGTAAACTGCTACCCACCTATGACAGCGTAAACCCTGAGCCCTCACAAACCGCAACCCTAAACCCTAAACCCTAAACCCTAAACCCTAAACCCTACACCCTACACCCTACACCCTACACCCTCACAAGCTGAAGACTCATGAAGTTCCACATGCCAACGGAGCCACCCAGTGGTCCAGCCCTCTCAGGCTCCACTGAAACCCCAATCCTGAAACCCCTACGGTTCAGGGTTTAGGGTTTAGGGTTTTGGGTTTAGGGTTTAGGGTTTAGGGTTTAGGGTTTAGGGTTGCGGATTGAGAGTTTCTGTTTGGGGGGGGGAGGGAGGGAGGGATTGTTGGGGGAGCGTAGGGGAGTTTCGCCCTGCCCCTAAACCCTAACCCCTAAACCCTGAGCCTAAACCCTAAACCCCAAGCTCGAGCCTCCTGCATCGGAACATCGAGGCGCTTGTCCGTGCCGCGCGCACTCCTGCTTGGAGGTTCATGGTACTTCTTAACCAATTATAACTGTACTTTTAGGGTTTAGGGTTAAGGGTTTAGGGTTTAGGGTACTTACTAACCAATTATAGCTGTACTTATAACTGTACTTAGAACCATATTAGGGCACTTCAGGGGCTTCTAAGTGGATTATAAGTGCAGCTAGAAGTGGTCAGTAAGTACCATGAACCTCAAATGGGGCTCGCGGGCTCAAGCCCCAAACTCAAGCCCTAAACCCCTAAATAAGTCGAAAATTGTATGTGGCATCATTCTGAATTTCCCAAGCTAATTTGTCCAAACAGCTGACAAGCCGAGTTTCAGCTAATTTACACATAGCGCCTCTGGAAGGCCAAATGCTCGACTTACTTAAGCCTCTGGGGTCTTCGCCCCCAAGCTCCTAATCAAAACTTCCCCGGTCAAAACACTCCCGGAAAGCAAAAAACAAATTGCTTCAAAACTTTCCCTCCATAAGCTCCTTCAAACTTTCCATCAAAACGTTCCTTCAAACCGGTTGTTGGGACCCAAACCCTGTACAATTTCTGGGGCTCTAGGGTTGCAGGCTTCAAGCTTCGGGTTCTAGGGCTCCAGGGTTCTAGGGTTTTGGGGTTGCCATATATACATATACATATAAATAAGTAAATACACAAATAAATACACAAATAAATAAATAAATAAATAAATAAATAAATAAATAAATAAATAAAATATAAATATATATATATATACACACATACGCACATTCTTTACATATGTTCGCATGTGTATATATATATATAATGCATATCTATGCAGATGTATACAAGGTGGAGGTGGTGGTGGTGGGGTGAAGTACCATTCAACCACCCTCAAACAAAGTTCGAACGAGGGTTCTAGACTTAAGCATTCGGGAACATCAAAGAGGTACTCCAGTTTGGTACCCGACGTGGTACCCAGTAAAGGGTTCAGGGGTATGTCGCCAATACCAACCTCTTCAAATAGATTTCAACCCTAAACCCTAAAGCTTAAATCCTAAACCTTAAGCCCTTAACCTGAAACCCTAAACTCCAAACCTTGAACCCATTGCGCTGCGAGTTGCTACGTCCTACCCCCCAAACCTCGTTTGTAGGGCTTCGAATTCTATGGTGGCCTAACCCTAAACACTAACCCTAAAAGTTTTAGGACCCTAAACCCTAAACCCTAGACCCACCCAAGTCTGTCTTCAAAGCAGGGCCCAAGTAAGGCTTCATCAAGGGTTAGGGGTTTTAGGGTGTTCGGGCCGCATTCGGGCGTTCGGGTTGTTAACGGTTTTCGGGCTTAGGGTTTCACACAAGGGTTTCATCCACCATCCCTTGATTTTGAGGTCTTAGGATTTAGGGCTTTAGGGTTGAGGGTTTAGGTTTAGGGTTTAGGGCTAGGGTTTAGGGTTTGGGGCTTTAGCGTTTTTAGCTTTCAGGGCTTCAGGGCCTCTGGCCTTGCTTCCTTTGGGCAGCGCGCCCAAACTGTGGAATAGCTGGGGTGGATTTGGGGGACCCAGAAACATACTTCTCAGTTCTGCAGGTGTAGATCAAAGAAAAAGGATATGTACATACATATATATATATATACATAGCTTATAGCGCTTCACGGCTGTGTGCGTATATGTATATATATATATATATATATACGTGGAGCTTCGATTTTATCTGTAGGGATAAAAAACTTCGCAATCAGCCCTAAATCCGACAAGCCTCTAAACGGGAACCCTAAACCCTAACCCTAAACCCTAAACCCTAAGCTGGCGTGGGCTGTAGAGGCACCAAAGATGGCGCAATCGTCTCTCAATGTCGAAAAGGAGACGTTCTATGATGACCCAAGGAGATTGCCACGCAAGCTCAGACCTCGATGCTCCCGCAGCTTGCAGGAAACTTTGCCTCTCCGACTGTAGCTGAGCAACCTCGGCGCGCAGCGAGCTCAGGGACTCTTCAGGGAGTCCACGCGCAACTGCAACTCTGTGGCTTGCACACGCAATGCAGAGACTGAGACGGAGGTTTCCCAAGTGAGGCGGAGATGCGCCCGTTCGGCCTCGCTGGCCTCGTCGAGCAGGTCTTCAGGAAGCCCTAAACCCTAAACCCTAAACCCTAAACCCCAAACCCTAAACCCTAAACCCTTAGGTTCTCCCTGGCGCCTCGCTGGCAGACAGGGTCAGAGCCTCCTTGGAAGACCGGAACTGCCGCTCCTGCGCCGAGGTGCTGCCGAAGCCTAAAGCCAACCTAGATAGATTACGGTTTAGGGTTTAGGGTTTAAGTACCTCCATGTACAATAATATAATATATAATACACAACATCTAATGTAGTATAATGTGTATATATATATATGTCATGTATCAAAGTCCAGGGTGTAGGGTTTTACGGTCTGGGGTTTGCGTTTCAGGGCAGGGTGGCCTACGCAAATGTCGGGACAGTGAATTCGCAGGCACACGAGAGACCTGAGAGCTCGGGCGGTCTTTGCTTGTGCTTGGCCAAGTCTGCTATCCTTGCAGTCCCCAACCCTACATGCTAAGGTGCCCCAACCAGAGTACCCTTGCAAGAGATAATATAGGGGCCTGAATAATTAGAATACGGATTTTTTTGTTTTTTTTTTTTTTTTTTGGGGGGGGGGGGGGGTGGTTGTAGAACAATATTAATGGAATATAATTCCCACGCCTAGAGTACTTTTGCTGTTGAGGCTTCTTCTCGGCTGGAGGCAAAGTAGGTCTCGGCACCTTGAGGGAAGCAAGCGCCGCATCCACGTTCTTCCTGTGGCAGCTTCGGGCATCTCATGGGTCCCGGACGAAACTGCTATGATGCGTTAGGGTGAGGGTTTAGGGTTTAGGGTTTAGGGTTTAGGGTTTAGGGTTTAGGGTTTAGGGTTTAGGGTTTAGGGTTTAGGGTTTAGGGTTTAGGGTTTAGGGTTTAGGGTTTAGGGTTTAGGTTTAGGGTTTAGGGTTTAGGGTTTAGGGTTTAGGGTTTAGGGTTTAGGGTTTAGGGTTTAGGGTTTAGGGCTTGGGGTTTAGGGTTTACTTGCTATGAAGAACAAAACTGAGGAGGTCGCGGGCTTCAACTCGGGATCCTTTTTGTCGGATTATGTGGAAAAGGGTTTAGGGTTTAGGGTTTAGGGTTTAGGGTTTGGGGTGTCCATCCCTACTCGCCAGTAAAGGAGATTCGGTCGGGCTCCTATGTTTGTTCTCCCAAGCGTGGTTTCAAGCTCTTAGGTACTGCCATTGTCAAACCCAGAAACGACCGCTTAAGGCCTTTAGACAAGACTCGCCAGCCTCTTGAAGCAGACAAACAACCTTTCAAGAAAACTCCAGGTCTAAAGGGTCTGCTGCTTAGGGTTTAGGGTTTAGGGCTTAGGGCTTAGGGCTTAGGGCTTAGGGCTTAGGACTCAGGGCTTAGGGCTTAGGGTTTAGGGTTTAGGGTTTAACGCGGCTATCAGAGCTTCGAGCTTGAAGAAGGTCCATGGGAAGGTGTGACTGAGATCCTAAACCCTAAACCCTAGACCCTAAACCCCAAACCCTAAACCGCAACAAAGGGAGTGGTGCAGACATTGAATTTCATTGGTGAACCAGAGAGGCCGAGTGGCTCGAGAAGTGCCACTACTTTGCTTTGTTGAATGTGCGTCCAAACACGAGAAGCCGAAGCCCTGAACTCTTGAAACCCTAAACCCTAACCCTAAACCCTAACCCTAAACCGTAAGTTCTAAACCCTAAACCCTAAACCCCCCAAATCAAGCCGAAGACCGCCCGGGCGACCTTGCGCAAGGCGCCAGGAAACAGCGCAGCCACTGCAGCCACCTGTGATTGCGCGGCTTTCATACCGAGGCTCCTCTACTTACTACTTATAGGGTTTAGGGTTTAGGGTTTCTATTTGCTCAAGAACTCCCAACAAGCTTCCTGAACCAGAAGCACCAAACCCTGAGCTACTACTTGCTTCAGAGCCCACCCAAAAAAGAAAGAACTAGACCGACAATTATATTGCCCTTCTATAATCAGGACCATTGTGGTTCTGAAATTAAGTGGGTTAGGGTTACCCTAAACCCTAAACCCTAAACTCTGGACCCTAAACCCTAAACCCTGGACCCTAAACCCTAAACTTTGTAAACCCTAAACCCTAAACCCCAAACCCTAAACCCAACACGCAGTCGCTGAGGCCCCAGCCGCGCGAGACCGCCACATGCCGCCGCCTCAAGATGAGAGTGAGAGGTCCAGAATTGCGGAGTTGAGGAGGAGGAGGAGGAACCCTAAACCCTAAACCCTAAACCCTAAACCCAAAACCCTAAACCCCCTTTGCTTGAAGGTTGGCTAGTTCTTTGAAGCGCGTTCTATGTACCCTAAATGAGGTTGCGGACTGTCGTTACCTTACTAACACAGGGCCAGTTTCCGAACCCCTCTGCAAGAGTCTCGAAACCCTGAACCTTGAAACCCTCTGGAGGGTTGAGGGTTTGAGGTTTCGGGTTTAGAGGTATCAAGGGCCCAACCGAAAGCTCAACCCTCAAAACCCCTAGGCCCCAAACCCTCAACCTCAATTCTCAGGCCTGATCCTCTACGCTGTGCACACCCGAACCCCTACCCCCCCCCCCCCCCCCCCCCCCCCCCCCCAAGATCCTAACACCACGAAACACATGAATCTCCCTAAGACCTGAACCCTAAAGCCTAAATCCTAAACCCTAAACCTAAACCCTAACCCATCTGAAGCCCTAAGCCTTAAACCCTTAAACCCCCCGAAAGCCCCACAACAGCAGGCTGATTTCTCAATCCAGGGCTGTTTCCGAGGGAAGCTTCCAAAAAACCTTATCCCTAAACCCGTATAGTAGTCCCTATAGTTAGATCCCTAGAGCCCAAACTCCAAATCCAAAACCACTGAGGCCTCCGCAACCTCAAAGCTTACGCCTGCACCCCAAAACCCCAAACCGCAGAATCCAACATCGACACCCTAAAACCTAAGACCCTAAAGCCTAAACCCTAGAACCCAAAGCCCATAAACCCCAAACCCTAAACCCTGATCAACCCCCCCCCCCCCCCCCTCTGCCTCGTTCCCTCGGCTCAGTGGCTCGCCCCGCCGGAGCGCCAGCAGACTCTGGGCGACAGTTAGGGTTTAGGGTTTGGGGCTCAGGTCCTAGGGCCTAGGGCTTAGAGCTTAGGGCTTAGGGCTTAGGGCCTAGGGTTTATAGGGTTTAGGTATAGGGTTTAGGGTTTAGGGTATATAGTTTAGGATTTAGGATTTAGGATTTAGGGTTTAGGGTTTAGGGTTTAGGGTTTTGGGTTGAGGGTTTAGGGGGAATTTGCAGCAGCCTTTACTTGCAAGTTCGACGGGCTTGGTATTGGAGCTCAGGTTTCAGGGGGTGGGGGCATTGGAGGCTTGCGGGGCCGTGGAGTTGAAGGTACTTGAAGGAAGGGTTTAGGGTTTAGGGTTTAGGGTTTAGGGTTTGGGGTTGAGGGTTGAGTGTTGAGGGTTGAGGGTTTAGGGTTTAGGGTTTAGGGTTTAGGGTTAGGGTACTTACTAACCAATTATAAAACTGTACCCTATAACTGTACTTCTCACCGTATTAGGGCACTTAAGGGGCTTATAAGTGGGTTATAAGTACCATGAACCTCCAAGTAGGGTTTACAACTTAGGGCTTGAGGTTTAGGATTTCGGGTTGATGGGCGTAGAGTTTCCAGGGCTGGCATGGGGATAGAGTTGGACTCCATCCGAGAACCACCGAGAGCCGGCGGCAGCCAGAGTCCACCCCAGTCAAGCGTACGAGCTGCCGTCGCTTGTCGAGGTGCAGGGCCAGAATCTCTGCCCCTAAACCCTAAACCCTAAACCCTTGAACGCGACCTCGCAGTGCCTCGGCAATGCTTCCAAAGCTTCACGAAACGCTCCTGGCGCGAGCGCGTGATCAAAAACCGATCACAGGCCCTAAACCCTAAACCCTGGACCCTAAAAGGGATTGGAGCTGCAAGGCCTCACCTGGTCTGGGGCCAGGGTTTCGGGCGTAGGGTTTAGGTGGCATGGTTGTTGAGGAATCCGAAAACTTCGGGTGTTCGGAAAGAGGATCACAAGACGCGTGTGCGCGGTTTAGAGTCTAGGTCTAGGGCGTAGGGTTTAGGGAAAGGGTTGTTTACAGGGTTTGGTGGGGCTCGAGACCCTTCAGGGCATCCGCGCGCTCTCAATACTGAACAGTATTAAACCCTGAAGCCTCAATCCTAAAGCGCAGCCTCGAGACCCTAGTACAAGCCCTGGGGGTGCGAAGGCTATCCTACAAAAGCGGCTCGCTGCCTGATCTTGAACAGTTGTCTAGGGCTTTCAGGGGTTTTAGGGTTTAGCGTTTAGGGTTCTACTATCTGCTTAAGAACCACACCAAAAACAGAAAGCTTCCTTATAAGGGGAATATAGGGATCATTCTGAGTATGCGTGTGATTCATGGTTCTTAAGCAACAAGTAGGGTTTTAGGGTGCCCTAAACCTCAAGAGTCTCAGATCCCAAAGGCTGGCTGCACTGAGTCCACCCCCAAGCCTAACTTTCGAAACCCTGAAGGTTTAGGGTTTAGGGTTTAGGATTTAGGGTTTGGGGCTTGGGGTTTATTTAGAAAGTTTCAGCTCGCGTGCAGGGTTGCGAGGTCCCAGGCTTGAAGTTTCATGTGTAGTTGCAGGCGTTTATGGCTTAGGGTTCAGGGTTTCTTGGTAAACTTACGAGTTCTTCATCGGGAAAATTAAAATTGGATGCCACACAAGTTGCATAGGTGTGAGACAACACCTGAAACAAGGACCTAGGGTTTGGGACTTCGGGTAAATATTAAGTATCTAATCCTAAATCCTAAACCCTAAACCCTAACCCTAAACCCTAAACCCTAAACCCTAAACCCTAAACCCTAAACCCTAAACCCTAAACCCCAAGTACGTGCATCCTGACACTTACTTACCTTCAACCGTTCAAGTAGCGGCCCACGCGCCTCGGCAAGATGACTGCTGCCAGCGGAGATCCCGGCCTGGAGCTGCGTCGTTTTAGGGTTTAGGGTTTAGGGTTTAGGGTTCAGGGTTTAGGGTTTAGGGTTTAGGGTTTAGGGTTTAGGGTTTCGGGTTTAGGGTTGAGGGTTTAGGGTTTAGGGTTGAGGGTTGAGGGTTTCGGGTTTAGGGTTGAGGGTTTAGGGTTGAGAAGCGCCCACATGTTTCCGGAAGCTCCTATGCTGCGACCCTAAACCCTAAACCCTAAACCCTAGACCCTAAACCCTAAACCCTAAACCCTAAACCCTAACCCCAAACCCTGTAAACCCTAAACCCCAATCTTAAGCCCGAGGACTCCAAGGAGCCCTACAAGGGGATCAGTGTCTAGAGTCGACCGTCCATAGACCTGAATCGGTCAAGAGTGTACTACAGGGGTTTAGGGTTTAGGGTTTAGGGTTTAGGGGTTAGTGTACTACAGGGGCCTGAGTATTTTTTTATGTAACAGGGTTTTGGGGGGTTGTTAGAGTAAAATTACAATGGGACCCTAAGGGAATACTATTAAAGTAATTGTTCCGACCCCGTAACCCTAAACCCTAAACCCTAAACCCTATATTAGGGCACTTATTTTGGGGTTCACTTGGTCCGCAAGGAACTCAAGGTCCACCTTGAGGCGTCGGGTTTGGGATGAGATCCGGAAATTTGCAGGGTTTAGGGTTTAGGGTTTAGGGTTTAGGGTTTAGGGTTTAGGGTTTAGGGTTTAGGGTTTAGGGTTTAGGGTTTAGGGTTTAGGGTTTAGGGTTTAGGGTTTAGGGTTTAGGGTTTAGGGTTTAGGGTTTAGGGTTTAGGGTTTAGGGTCCCAAGGCCGGGTTTAGGGTTAGATCCCAACTGGCTCCCAAGCTTTTTGAATCCCCCTCTCAACCGGCTGAGTGTTCAGGGCTTCGGCTTCGGGTTCCCTAAAAAGGCGCTCGGTAAAAACTTGAAAAATGGACAGGGATGTGTCGTTCGAAATGAAGGGCTCTTGCCTGGTGTCAAAAACTACAAAATATGTTGTACAAGACATGCGGTACAAGAGAACCCCTAGCGTAATGTGTAAGGGGCCTGAAACCTAAATCTAACAAACACACACCCCATGAGGCCTACGGACCCTAAACCCTAAATCCTAAACCCTAAACCCCAACCCTAAACCCTAAACCCTAAACCCTAAACCCCAAACCCTTCTCAGCCCTAAGCCCCCGAAACCCGCAAAGTCCCACCTCGGCGCTGGAGAGCGCACAAACTCGGCACCTTGAGCTCCCGCGATGTTTGCTTATCTGGGGTTCATGGTACCTACGAACCAATTAGAACTGTACTTATAGGGTTTAGGGTTTAGGGTTTAGGGTTTAGGATTTAGGGTTTAGGGTTTAGGGTAACTGTACTCATAACCCACTTATAAGCCCCTCTAAGTGCCCTAATATGTTTATAAGTGCAGTTGCGCAAGTACAGTTATAGTTAACCATCATAGTTTGTGGGTTATAGGTGGGGGTTACGATAATAGGGGGACCTTATTGGGGTCCATTTATAGGGGATCCTCCTTTTTGGGGATTTAGGGGTCCCCTATTTTCGTAAATTATCAGGTAAGGTACCCACACTTACCCCAATTAAGGTGCCTCGATCCTCCAAGTGGGCTTTTGAGAGAATGGTTTAGGGTGTATAGGCCTCCTGGAATAGGGTTTAGGATTCAGGGTTAGGATCCCAAACCTAAACCTTGAACCCTAAACCCTATAAGCCCTAAACCCTCAATCCTTTGGTTTGTACGAGCGTAGCGTTGGTCAGCAGGACGCCGTAGTGTTAAGACCCAAGACCACCCAATCACAATTCGGAAGCTCGGAGTATAGCATGTAGGCTTTAGGGTTTAGGGCTTAGGGGTTAGTGCGTAAGCCTTAAAGCCAACTTCACGCATCACACTACTGCGAAGTCGAGTGTGATCGCTGACACGATTCTTGTCCAAAAGCCGGGGAAACTTGGGGTCTTGGGTTCAGGGCAAGCTTCGGATCTTCAAGGTTTGGGGTTTAGGGTTTAGGGTAAACTCAAAATTCCAAACCCTGAGGCCTTGACCGATCCCTCACAAGAAGGACTCTACGAACCCATGTGAAGTAAGGTTTATCTTCCTTGTATCCCTGGAGTCTCCGAAGAGCTGTCCCAGCAAGAGGCGAAAATCTAAAACACACCACGAAGCCGCTCCAAGTCCTTCACGTGCATCAAGCGGACAGAGCGAACTTGATTAACACGTAGAACGAGAGCATGCGGAAGACATTGTCTCCGATGAAAGTTGACGAGAAATTTCGGAAAGTTTGAACATCTCAAATATTCCTTGTATCCCCAAAAGGACACCCAGTATATACACTCACCAATATTCAGAAGGAACCTTATATACATCCTAAACCCTAAGCCCTAAACCCTAAACCCTAAACTCTGTTTCATGTGCCTCCGGAGCAACTCCACCGGAAGCGCGTCGAAGTCTGCCAGGACCAACTCCTATGTTGCATGAGGGTTTGGGGCCTCTAGGGTTTAGGGTTTAGGACCCTAACCTTAAACCCTAAACCCTAAACCCTAAACCCTAAATTCATGGGTTTAGGGTGTCAGCCTTTCGCTTCAAGTCGGAGGTTGGGGCTTAAGTCTTCTCCAAGAATAGGGGGGTTTTTCAGAAGGGTACTTGTCAGCCTGCTGAAACCTGCTGACCAATGTGCAATTTTCTGCCTAAATATCCGAAATTCTGCTCATATGCGCTGAAATCTGCTGTAATGTTCCTGTTTTCTTCTGAAATCGTCACCAAACTTCTTCATTCTGCCTCATTCTTCAGATTTTTCCGACAACTTCTTCATTCTGCCTCATTCTTCAGATATTTCCGACATCTTCTACAATGTTCAGAAAACTTCTGGATACTTCAGTTCTCTTGAACCTTATGAATAACTTGGTGGAGGGGAAGAATGAGATCTAAAGAGGGGCACTGAATAAGCAGCCTTGAACATAAAGAGCGTGATTGCTAAATGTCGCGGGTCGAGGGGGGTATGTGGGGAGAAAATCATAAGTTTTGGTTGGGGGGGCTAGGGGGTGTGGTGGTACTTGGTGGCTTGCTGGTATTTGTAACTTTCGGCTCATAGCCTGTCTCTCCACTTTCTGCTAGGCTTGGGACTGCCCTCGCTGCGAATTAAACATCAAAAAGCTTCTTTGTCTTCAGGCCCGTGCAAAACCAAGATTTCCTAATTTCCCTCATGAAAAATCTACACTGTGGTTGGGAGTCTAGGGGTTGCACTCCGTGCTTGGTGACTTGGTGGCGCTTGGCGGGCTGCTGGTTTGCTTTGTCTCCAGGCCCTTGCCAAACCAAGATTTCAATCCCACATGATAACAGAGACAGACTCATTCCGAATGATTCCAACCCACCCGGCTAAAAACGGGCAACAAAAACGCACACCTAAGCGAAGAATTCCGAAGAATTTCGAAGAACTCCGAAGAATTCCGAAGAATTCCGAAGAATTCCGAAGAATTCCGAAGAATTTAGAAGAATTTCGAAGAATTTCGAAAAAAGCATCGAAGAACCTCGAAGAAGTTCGAAGAATTCCGAGGAAAGTCGAAGACTTGAGGAAGTTAGTATGTATGCGCAGCTTCCATACACAAGAATATTCCCCAAGGATGCCGAAGAATTTCGAAGAAACCACGCACATACACAAGAATATTCCCCAAGGATGCCGAAGAATTTCGAAGAAACCACGCAGTATTTGGAAGAATGTTGGAAGAACTCCCACATGATTCCGAAGCCTTCCGAGGGATGTGCAAGACATTCTTTGACTCCTACGAATACATTGGGGGGGGCGGGGTGGTGGGCAGGAATGGAGGTATAAGGAGATGCGCCGAACACGTAGCCTGAGCATGAATGCTAACTTTCGGTGACCGGCTGGTACGCGCATATTTTCTTGGGGCTTTCTGGGATTGTTTAAACACCCCTAAACCTTGTACTGGGCCTGCTTGCTCCAGGAGTTTTAAGAGCTTGCGGGGTACCTTGAACCCCTGAACCCTAAACCCTCAACATCGCCCTCCCTGCTGTTTGGGACGGGGCTTCTAGCAAGGACTACACAACCCCCACGCCTTGAAGGTGAAACCCTCTCAGTTTACCAACCTGCAAATGACAGTGTGCTCGAAACTATCGTCTACATCGTGACAGCGGTCCATTGAAACTCTCTTGCGGATATGTTGCTCAAAACTATCGTCTACATCGTACACATTTCTTCGGACATCTTCCGCATAATTTGCTATTCTTCCGAAATCTGCTTCATTTTTCTTTTATATTTTTCTTCGAAAATGTGCTGAAACATGTACAGTACATGTCTGCCAAACTCTGCTGGGCTTTTTGGGACCTCCTGAGAAGTACCCCTGCTGAGAGAAGTACCCCCAACCGCATGAATGATTAAGGTTGGGGGTTAAAGGGAATGAGGCCGCAAGGGTTTATAGGGTTTGGGATTTAGGGTTTAGGGTTTAGGGTTTGGGGTTCAGGGGGTTTGCAGTGGCAGATCTCTCAGGGTTCCGAGCCTTCGGGCCTTAGGGTTGAGGGACTGAGGGTGTTCAGGTGTTTCCGGTTTTGGGCGAATCACCTTCCCAAAAAAAGGGACCTTGTAGGAAACAATCCGGTTACATTGCGGGCAATTGTTTGTCCTTTGGGGCTGGGGCGATATCAAGGGGAGGGGCGGGTGGAATCGGCCCAAGTTCTATTCGCCGCTCCTATGGCTTGAGACATGCGAGATGATGGCTTGAAGCACTTGTTAGGGTTCAAGTGCAAGGATTTTCAGAAAAAGTAAACCCTCAACCCTCAACCCTTCAACCCTAAACCTCAAGAATTGACCCCGAATTATCAAAAAGAATTGTATGGCTGGCGCGCATGTGTCCCGCCCGTCCTCTGCATTCTTGCCATCCTCCTGGTCGTCCTCCTCCTAACTCAGCCAAGGCTTCGATTTTAGGTGCTTCAAAGGTCTGCGTATTCACTCACCAAGTTTCCTAAGCTAGTTCTGGGCGGGGCATTCAAGGAAGTGAGTACCCCTTACATCATCCCGTAAAGGCTTGTCGTGGGTGATATATATATGGGGCACCTCTCTCCCTGATGCCCTAACTCCCTACTCTGCTGCTACGAAGTAGTATGACCCCCCGACCACTTCATACCCCCAACCTAACACAATACATAATACAGGGCACCCTTGTTTGCTGAATTCACTTGTACAGATCCCAGGCTTCGACGAAAAAAAACAGCATCCGCGTCCGGTTTTGTGCTTTTGTGGCTGTGGGGCGCAGGTGTTTAGAAGATATGGTATGTGTCCAGCGGAATTTGCTCGTGGGCTGTGTTGAGGTCATGCTGCAGGCACAGCGTCCACGCCCCCACAGCTTCCACTTTTCTCCTACAATCCCGCGAAATATCAACCAAGACCACATTTTTCGAAGAAACGGAATGAAGCGCCACGCTCGCCAGGCTCAACCAACACGAAGGACCTTGAGGCGGCAACGCGGCTTACAAGCCACCAACTCCCAAACCTGTCAGCTTCCAACTAAGATAGGTTGGCTCTGATATAGATGACTTGAATGAGGACCGCAGCGAATGTCAGTATCACACTGTCACTATGTATACCGACTTCAGCAAGCGGCCAGCCATACAGTACAGTTGCAGGGAGTCGTCGGAAAGAAGCAGCTGAAAGTGTATCACTAGCTAACATGAATATCCTGAAACATTCAATACCCGAGCCTAGTCGGCTGCATAGTACAGGAATATATACCTTTGCATTCACACGCATATATATATATATATGTTATATATATATATGTATATATGCATATGCAGGTGGGGGGGGGGGGGTAGCATATATACATCTTTACACGTGCATATATATATATATATATAATATATAATATAATATAATATAATATAATATAATATAATATAATATAATATAATATAATATAATATAATATAATATAATATAATATAATATAATATATAACATGAATATTCAAAACCTAAAACAAAGCCCCTCTCCAAATGACAACCTGGAATGTAAAACGCTAATGTCTAGCCTACTTGTATAGTTCCACGCATTCCCAAGCACTATCTTTGACATGAGGGCGACCTTTCATTTACATAGATGCATATGTGCATGCTTCGGTATGTTGATCATCTGTTAAAACGCTGATGTCTATATGGACATGTATATGTACGTGTGTATATATATATATATACATACAAACATAAATATATAAATATAAAAATAAATATACATATAAATCTAAATATAAATATAAATATAAATATAAATGTAAATATAAATATAAATATAAATAAATATGAATATAAATAAATAAATAAAATAAATACATAAATATATATATATATATATACATATATGTGCACGTCACTCAAAAAATTGCGTTTCCCCTAACACCCCTGTTTTACAGGGCCTGACCAGGGGCCCCCTCCAGCTCTGGGGCGTCAGTTGGCACAATTGGGTTTGCGTATAGCCCAAAATCAGAGACACACGGAAATCCCAGGGTTTAGGGTTTGGGTTTAGGGTTTAGGGTTTAGGGTTTAGGGTTTAGGGTTTAGGGTTTAGGGTTTAGGGTTTAGGGGTTAGGGGTTAGGGTTACAAACCCATGAACCCCATGAGCACGTCCCACACCAGGAACCAGCCTCCTCCCACCCGCGGCCCAAACCCCTAAACCCTAAACCCTAAACCTCTAACCTAAACCCTAAAGCCTGCCTGGGCTGTTGCAATTGGTAAGACTTCATTCGCACCTTGCGAACCTTTTATCGGCGTTGGGTTGACGTATAGGGGTCATGCACGGATTTAGGGCGCGCACCTCAAAAAAAACATCATGGAAAAGTTGAAAGACTCAAAACTCTGATGCCTGAGCTAAGAGAACAAGGCAACAAGAGGAAGAACCACAAAGGGTTGACAACACAGCCCTCGACCCTACGTACAACCCGCTCTCAGAGCGGCCCTTTTTCATCTTGAGCCAAAAGTCAGAAGGTAAGCCATCCTGATCTGCATAACATGACTATACATACATTACTTTACAGGAAGGAAGCTCGTGATTCTTCAACTCCCCCCTTCATGTTTGCAGATTCTCAAGTCCTAGAGCTCATTTGAAGCTCGATTCTGGACTTCAGGAAGCAACAGCTACGAGCTCAACTCTGCAGCCAAACCTACTGTCGATTGAAGTACAGGCTTAGCCATGTACAAATTGAATCCGGTATCTCAGGTGATCAGGCTGAAACGTAGACTCAATAAACCTTTAAGGTAATTCTACCTGCGATCTATACAAAACTACTCTCAACCGGTGCAGGACTGTGCTCAGGCGGAGTCAGAGCGGCGCTTGGGAGCAGCCGTACACTGACACAACGCAGTGCAAGGCTGAGGGCAGGCAAGGAGTGCAGAACGAGATCCTCAAGAACTCATTCAGATGACACAGGGATGATGGCCCATATCCAAGTGTCTGCAAAAGCACGATGATGGATACTGTACAAGACTACTCGTGACTACTCCCAATCAGAAGCACAGCTGTGCTCACGCAGAGTCAGAGTGGCGCTAGGCAGCAGCCAAACACCGACATCACACAGTGCAAGATTGAGGATAGGCAGTGGTTTAGGAACGAGTTCTTCAAGAGCTCATTCGGATGACACAAGGATGAAGAGAGCGGCCGCTGGGCATCCGAGTGTCTGCAAGTTGCACAGTGATGGAAGTATCGCTCAGCTGAACAACCATCGCAACATTATCACCAGAGGCAATTGTAACAAAGCTTTAGGTGATGGCGAACACACTTAGCTGGGAACATCTGGCAGATGTTTAGTAGAAATGCGCAGCAACTTTAGTGCGTGAGCCCATTTCCGGATTGAAAGGGCCTTCGTCAAAGGATTACCTTTCTCAGCTTAGCTGAATATCCTTTCGGATAATGGCGACACAAGCTTCATTATTTGCATGACACAAAAAGCTTGATGCCAAGAATCACGGTTTGCCAAACTTCAAGTAAAGGCAACGCGTCATTGAACAGGGCACTGCTCGAACACAACATACTCTCTTCCGGGAGCGTTGGAGTCGCTGAGTGACTTGAACACATGAATGTGATCAGCTGCGATGACTTCTCCAAATTCCGAGGCTTCCAGCAACGCGGGCGCAGAGTCCTCATCACGAGGCTTGCGACACACTCTTCTGGACAAGAGCTTGGATTGATTGCACACATCACAGAACGGGTTCTTTGGGAAGTGGAAGAAGCGATGCTTCACACTTACAGCTTCATCTCTCAGTTTGCGAACTCGATCACTGACATGTGCATCATCCACAACGGGGAATCCAGGTGGACTCAAATCTAGAGGCTTGTCCCCTTCAGGAAGTGCAGATGCAGCAGGACCATCAGGGCTTGCTTCGATAAGATGTTCTTTGGGTAACCCCCCTGACGAAGAGGAAGGTATCTCGGACGAATCAACTTCTGCGGGAATGACATCAACCAGCGGAAGATTGTCCAGTAGAAACCCAACTCCTATGAGAGCATCCAAAACATCATGCTCGAGAGAAGCAGGATCTGTTGCCGCACACAAGACCATCGCAAGTCGAACACCAGTCCAAGGCTTCGTGGCACGAAGTCGATCTTTGGCGGAAAACCAGATGACCCCTTTCTTGGACTTCAGTAGACCGACCACACCACCTCGACGGAAGCAACCTACTGCAAAGGACGTGTCATCGCTCGGCTCAATCCCTCGGGATGCGGAAACGCGTTTCATAAGTCCAAAGATCTTACGAACTTGATTGGGCTGAATATCACCACGCTTTGTTAGGAGGTCTTTGGCATACTCTTCAGCTGGATCATGGGCAACGGGACGCGAAGGCTCTTGGCATTCCTCACCCGACTCGTCAAGAGAATCAGCTGACGCAGCAAGACCATGGACAAACTGACATTTGCTGGTGAAGATCGGCACATGCTCATCTGTGCGCTTGGCATAAAGCTTGGCTTCTTCGGCGCAGTCGACCCGAAGCTTAGACAAGTCATGCGCGAAGAATGGAAGGGAACCAGGTAACCATATGAAGGCCTTCCCAGATTCAACATCCAAGCCAGTGCTTCGAACAACTGGGCAGTTGTCCAACATGTAGTGAATGGCGAGAGGCATATTGTCGGACGCAAATCCCAAGCTCTGCGAACCGGGCTGAGGTCCACCGCCTGCGTGGAACGTAACAAGGCTCGCTGAGCGCGCAAGAAACGACCTGTATGACTCCGACGGAATTCCCCGGTCTGCCAACGCCCGCGCCGATCCAAGATGCCGACCAGCAGCTGTGTGCGCAGCCCACCCAACGGCGTTGCTTCCAGGGATGTTGCACACGCTTGAGGCGGCAATCATTGCCACGACTGCCTTCGCAACGGCTCCTGTGGATTTGGGTTTGGGAGCGGCGGCCTTAGGCTTAGACTTAGGGTCAACCTTAGGTGTCTTATCAGGGTCATGACTGTACTTGCAGTCCTCTCCGTGCATGCAACCAGATGCCATCCTGAAGAAAATGCAAGGCGTCTTAGCCTTTTCTGCATCTGACATGCTTTTTGCTTTTGGCTTTGCTCTCGCCTCAGGCTCAGGGGTTGGTGCTGGGGTTGTAGACACTGGAGCCTCTGGCGGAGTCTTGGGCGCTGGAGGACTTCGCGGTGGCTCTTCGGTCTCAGCAGGTACCCCCCTGGCCTTTGCCTGCGGAGCTGCAATCTGCAGGGACTTGATTACCGACTGAGCATTGGTGTCTTCTCGTTCTTGAACGATGACGTCTTGTATCTTGTTCCATAGGTAACTCCACTCACGACGACGGGATTCTGGCGCAGATTCTCTGATGTCATCAATGACACGTTCTAGCTTCCTAATGTGCTTCACACGGTGGAAGAGCCATTCGCCAGTGAGGCGATCATCCGGCCTCTGTCCTATTGGGATTGAATACAGAACAGTCCGAACGCGCTGCACAAAATCCCGGAGATCTCGAATGGAGTTTCCTCCAATTTCGACCTGGAACAACGTTGAAGCAGTCAGCACAGTGCCTCGAACGCGGTCAATGCTGAAATGACGAGCAAGAAGAGCAAGCATGTATCGACCTTTCGGCTGGGACCCTGTCTGGCCACACAACTCAACGTAGGCGATAACTTCTTGCGCCAACTCAGTCACTTGCTTCAACACACGCATGGAAGTCATCTCTCCAGCAATCCAAGCATCAAGGCGAGGAAGAAGACCTGATTCAGTAAGCTCTTCTTTTTCAGCTGTGAAAGACCGAGACAACCATGCAACAACCAAACCTTCGCCTGACATGTCAAGCTTGGCAATCTGGACCAACAACGAGTTTTTCCAGGCTCGGAAACCAGCAGCGTCGGAAGGAACCGGCTCAAGCTTGAGATGTAACAAAGCTCGGCTGTCAACAATGTGCTTCTCTTGCCTTTCAGGCTCTTCGATCTCATGAACAGGAGATGCATCATTGCATCCTGGATCCGTGCCATTTCTTTGGGCAAGCAGTTGCTGTACGACATCAATCAACTGATCAACACGAGGATCGGTAACGGTCGCAGGAGGGACGGTCGCAGGAGGGCAAGGGGCTGACTCATTGACAACTTGCGGCAATGAAGGTGCACCACTACTATCCTCATTAGAACCGTTATGTACCCAACTAAACCCACCAGAGCATGCACTTGACGCAAGTACCGGCGGCTTATCTGGCTGGCGAGGAGCAGACGTTGGAGGCGAAGACCCAGGACTCGTGGCGCTTGCAGCAGCCTGGCGAAGTCTCTGAATCTCGCGGTCTTTGACTTGCAACTCGACACGTAGCTGGGTGTTTTGGAAGTTCAGCAAGTTGTTGTCACCCCGGCAGCTGGTTAGGGCGGCTTCAAGCTCTTGGTACCCTGCACGAGCGACCTGAAGTTCTGCTTCGGCCTTGCTTAGCTCGGCCTTAGCTACAGAGAGCTGTTCTTCCAAGATTCGACCCTGTTGAAGGATCTCATCATAGCGATGTTCGTACTGTTGCAACTGCTCACGCATTTGCTCAACGGTGGATTCAACCAAACCTCTAGCCTCATTCTCAACATGCTCTAGCCTTGCGGCATGCAACTGTTCAGCATGATCAGCAACATGTTGCGCTGCTTGCGCTGCGGCTAAACGCTGTGCATCCAAAACCTCTTGCGGAGAGGCTCCAACATTCAGGATGTTCTGTGTGTATGAGGCTTGAGCGGTTAGATTAGGGTAAGGGCTTGAGTGCTCATGAGTTTTGCGAGGTCTAGACAAGGCTTGTCTAGTCAGAGGAGGGGACCTTTCACGGACCTCAACTGCTGAACTACTAGCAACCGAACCACTATCCGAACCAACACCACCTGGCAATGCCGTGGCTGAAGCACTTGACAAATCAAGCACCGAGCTGGCTTGATTGCTAGGGTCAGAAGGAGAAGACATTGCTATGGGAGGTGGAAGCGGTTAGCAGCAGCTCACCGCACCCTTTCTTTTGGCGGAAGAGGCGAGGCTCACGGCGTTCACTGGTGCAACAGTGGAAGGATGTGGCGAAACTTCGCCGGACTTTCCTTCAAGGACAGGCACTCCGTTCACTCCTCGGAATTCGGAACAGAGTTGATACACCAGTTGCAAAGCGACTCTTCTGCTTCAATCAGACCAGAAAAACTGGGCACCGTAGATCGAGGATAAACTCGCGTTCCGCGCTTAGCCAAAGAAATGTGGAACGGAGTGATGAATGATGCTCCGGCACACTCGTCCACAACTTCTGCACTGTCGTCAACAATGGCAATGGGACAACGAGCAATATCAAAGACCTTCTCCAGCAGCGCCCGCTTTCCTGATTCACCCGTGGGCTTGCGGGTGATAAAAAGTAGCGAGAGGACTGAAACTCCTGCTTCACGGATGAGCCGATCAGTGCTGTTGCAACTCGTGCCGAGAACTTGAGCTACTGTGTCAGAATGACGGCAATAAGAAAGCACCACCACCAATATCTGCCTGCTCTCCGTAATCTGACTCAACCTCTGCAAAAAGCGAATGTTGCGGTCCGGATACTCTGGGCAATCGTCGCGCCAATTTGTGCTCTGACGAATATCACGGTCAAGGACTCCGTGAAAATCAAAAGCAAGGACTGCACGCGCCTGAGCCACCTCGCAGGAGCGCTTGCACCTTCATTCGAGACTGGAGCCGCTCCGGATGCCTCGGGGCTCAAAAGCACCTTCTTGCTCACTGTCCATCCATTCTCAGGCAGCTACACTTAGGGTCTTAGCTATGAAAGCAATACGGACCTGATAACCAGTTGAAAGACTCAAAACTCTGATGCCTGAGCTAAGAGAACAAGGCAACAAGAGGAAGAACCACAAAGGGTTGGGGATCAACACAGCCCTCGACCCTACGTACAACCCGCTCTCAGAGCGGCCCTTTTTCATCTTGAGCCAAAAGTCAGAAGGTAAGCCATCCTGATCTGCATAACATGACTATACATACATTACTTTACAGGAAGGAAGCTCGTGATTCTTCAACTGGAAATGCCTTCAGAACCTAAGCTACCGGCCTTCACCAGCCAGCTTCTTATTGCGGAGTTGTGCGGTCCCCCATGCCGACATTAAGCGCGTGTGAAGCGCGTACGTGCGTCTAGTATACGTGTATATATATATATATATATGTACATGTGTGCTGAAAAAAACACAAATGAACAAATCAATAGGTAAAAAATAATCAACAAATAAATGAATAAATAAACATAAATAAACACAAATTGAATAACTAACTAAATAAATAAATATAAATAAATAAATATATACATATATACACGGGAGTATTTACATGACGCACTCGCAACGTGCATGCATACTAGTGTTTGGGTTCTTTTCGTTTGTCAGCTGAAAGGGGTAGCTTTTAGGGTTTAGGGTTCAGAAGGTTCATAGGGTTCAGAGGGTTCATAGGTTTTAGGGTTTAGAGTTTAGGGGGCCCCATCGCCCATCGTAGGAAGGGGTATGTGGTCCAAAACTTCCCCTACATCCGAAATCGGAAGCCCCAAGCTCGCGGCAATATAGGGACGAAGGAACCGATACAGCCTGCAAAAAGAGTGAGAGCCCCAAAGCTACTTATTCCAGGAGCATGGCGCCCCAAAACGAAAGTACCACTATCATCCCCTTAGTGACTCCTAGATAGCCACAAGAACACTACCCAAGACGCCATTCTAAACAAACAGGGCCGATATCACTCTACGGGTCCACATACCTATATAGTACTTTTGCCTTGAAGGGCTTCCCATATTGCAGCTTTTCGCGCCCAAGTATATACTGCATAGGTACATGGACCCTTGGGGATATACAAACCCTAAACCCTAAACCCTAAACCCTAAACCCTAAACCCTAAACCCTAAACCCTAAATACCCTAAACCCTAAACCCTAAACCCGAACCCTACAACCCTGAACCCTTAAACCCTAAACCCTATATAGACTGTAACCATACACCGGTCACTTGAAGCTTCAAATTTTCAAGAAGGATTACTTCAAGCCACCCCCTGAGGCCTCAAGCGGATCCCAAGAAGCCAAACCGGCGTAGGGTGTAGGGTCGATAGGGTCCAGGGTTTGGGAACTTAGGGTTTGGGGGTTTAGGTTTTCGGGTTCCCTAATCCCTAAACCCTAATGCTAGGATCTGATTAATAAAACCATGGATATTAAAAAAAAATAAATTTTGGCCCGAACCCTCCAGGAAGACTACTTCCCAAAATGCCCAAACAAACCCCCGGGATTTAAAAAACCAAGTCGGCGACCCAAAAAACTAGAAATGCCGAGGGATACAGGGAATAATAGAAACTCCTGGGAATTGAGGAAAACTTGGGCACCCAGCGAAGAAAATGTACTGTGAAAGTTACAGGGAATAATAAAACACCCGAGATTTGAGGAACATTTGGGAGCCCAGCAAAGAAAATTGACCGTGAAAGTTGCAGGGAATAACAAAACACCTGGGAATTGAGGAAAATTTGGGATCCCAGCAAAGAAATTTACTGTGAAAAGTTACAGGGACTAATAAAACACCCGAGGTTTTAGGAAAATTTGGGAGCCCAGCAAAGAAAATTGACCGTGAAAGTTGCAGGGAATAATAAAACACCCGAGATTTGAGGAAAAATTGGGATCCCAGCAAAGAAACTTTTCTGTGAAAGTTACTGGGAATAGTAAAACACCTGGGAATTGAGGAAAACAGAATACAACACAACTAATTAATTACTGAATTTAATTCATAAATTAAATTAGCTAACTAATGAATTAACGAAGAAATTCGTCACTAGTTTATGAAGTATTGATCTTGTTTATTTATCAAATAACTAAGAGGCAGGAAGAAGGATAAGAAACATGTGAAGCTACAGTCTTTGCAGAGTCTACTACTACTCCTCATGACCTGCTGCTGGCACCCCACCCGCCACCCCCAAAAAAACGGCCAGGAAATAATAACACCTGTTCAATTATTCCCCGGGGGGGGGGGGGGGGGGCCCCCACTAATCAGAAGCAAGGATTAAACCACAAACCCCAAACCCTAAACCCTAAACCTTTCTGGTTCAGGGTTTGAGGAGCTGAAGCCCACCTCTGTCAAGCTCGAGAGCAACTGCCGCTTCAGCTCATTCAAAGGCCCGGAAAGCGAAGAGATGTGGAGAGGAACCTCGCCGAGATCGGAATTCAGGCCTTGATTCGGGTTGAGACCCTATATGAAGTAGGGTATATATTTCTTGTAACCCCAAAAGGACACCCGGCAAAAACACTCACCAATTAAAAAGGAACCTTATATACACTCACCAAGAACAGTAACATAAACCCTGCTTCATTTCTACTGAGTTATATACTGGCCCTTCAAAGGGAACTTAAGGGCTTCGCACCCCTGTAGACATGTCGGGGATGCCTCAGATAGCTATTTCCCGACTACGAAGCCGTAGGATGAACCCCAAGTTCTTGAACCAACATTTGGGGTTTACGAAAATAGGGGGACCCCTCATATAGACCCCTGGCCCCTAATAGTAGGGTTTAGGGTTTAGGGTTTAGGGTTTAGGGTTGGGTCACTTCTAGGGGTCCCTCCTTATACCCCTTAAGTCTTCAAAACCGAAACCACGCCCATACCTACAAGCATCTGCTTCGCTACGCTGCACATGGCGCACATCTCTCAGAGGTAGTCGGCAGTAACAAAGGATGCAACCGTGAGCTGGGACAGACTATGCCGGACGCCTTGTCGGTTGCATCCTGGTGCTGGGCTCTTGTGGCCGCGCCACGGAATTTAGCCGGGCGACTGTTGGTCTTGGGTCTGCCAGGGCACAGCAAAAAGCCGACTCGCCATTGTCCCTCAAAAAAAAATCTGCATCTTGCAGACACCTGTCATGTACCCAAGCAGTAAGAATACACAGGTAAAGGGCCTGGGCAGATCATTGCTGCCGAAGCAGGTCGAGGACGCAGGTTGTCTACCAGCGTGATAGTACGTCTACAGTAGAAGTCTTAGAGGAGTTCGTAATTCAAACTCCACCGACTACACATGCCACTGCAAGGGGGGGCCGCATGGGGCGACGCCCTTTCGCGAGGCAGCTAGGCTTGCAAAAGCATGCTGCCTCAAGCGACAGTGGCTAGAGCTATTATGCAGTGGCCGTGCGGCACACGTAGTCGAATTCTACCGGAAAGCAGGAGTGCGTTGTGTAGTTGAAGATGCTCATACCCAATAAGCTCCAGCTAGTTCCAGCACACGGTGACGCACCCCTGAGAGAGCGTCCGGTGGTCGGGTGGGTTAGCACGCCCGGCCAATTGTTTCGTGCATCACTGGCTTGGAGGCCAAGAAGATTCTCCAAAGTGGGGTCAATATACCCAAGGCAGCCTAGACCCCAAACCCCAAACCCTGAACCCTACATGCTGCGTCATCCTTACTCTATATGGCCACATGGAGCCACATACTTGGAGGTTGAGGGTACTTTTTGCTTACCCATTCATAAGCCCCTTAAGTAGCCTAGTGTGGTTATAATTGGGCTATAGGTACAGCTATGCTTGGGTTACTAAGTAGCCTGAACTTACCATTCTCACCGCGCACGAAGTCTCCCATGAGCCTCACCATCGCCAAGTGAGAGCCTCATGATCGAAATCGTTCAGAGTATTTCGGGTTTAGGGTTTAGGGTTTAGGGTTCAGGGTTTAGGGTTACAAACTACAATATACAGGCAGTCTAGACATCACAGCAATTATGCCTAACATGCACTGCTAAGATTGCAGCCAAGATGGCCCAGTCGTGGTTTCCGCATGAGTCTGCACGGGGTGGGCTCTGACTGCGAGCATGCTGTACCTTACTTCTCCAAAAACCAAGGGAAGGACAGGCTAAGCTTCATTCTTCCTACTAAATATGAAACCCAAAAAGTATAAAGTTTACCTGCTGGCTCAGTGAGGTACAGCGTGAGAAGCAACTCCAGGTTTCCTATCGGAAGCCCGGGAGGCATGGAATCCTGCGGTAGGACTGGCAAGGGCTCTGGAATCACGTAAGATGCCTCTCGACTGCCTTCTGGCAAGGGCTTGCGGGCATCTCGATGTACCGCTTCGGGCTGCTGTGGGGGTGACATCGGTGGCTCATTCATCTTTGCTCTTTGGCTGCACCTCTTGCGCTCTGTCCATCCCGCGCTCGCGCGCTCTGCGCGCGTCTGCTCCCGGAGCTGCTTGCCCTTCGAGAGGTGGGTAAGGTGGCAGTAGGCGCAGTCACGACCTGCACGGCAGCCAATGAATGAGAAGCAGTAGAACGCGCAGGGCGTGCACTTGCTGGGATGTCCGGTGCTGCCCGCAGACTCCACTGGTCCTGCGGTCACCATGCAGTTCCACCGCTTCGGGGCATCATGACCTCCCTGTGTCGGCTTCTTTCCCAGACTTCCACCGCCATCCGAGGAAACCGTCGTTGCCTCGCCCTCTTCGCGCGATGGGAGCTCATAGCCTGTAGCCACTGTAGTCATACTGTGGCTGTTGCTGACTGGCTTGCATTCTGTCACTGTCGGCGCGCACAAGCCGAAGGGTCCAGTGACAGTGTCCGGCAACTCCAAGGCCATGCCTTCAGCAACGAGGGCTTCTGGGACTCTCCACCTGAAAGCCAAAATCTCCGCCGGGCTTCGGGTTAGTAAACCAGTCATCTTGGGAAATAAGGTACCTGTTTACAGCAGCCTATATGGACAGAAGGGAACCAATTTGCGGGCCTGACGTCGCTTGTAACCAAAGCTATACTTTACAACCCTTCTAAACCCTGAACCCCAATAAACCCTAAGCCCTTTCTCGGATTTCGGAACAAATTCGGAACCCTTGCACTGTGGTAAGTGGCACATAAAGCCTCGAAACTTAGAGAAAAAATTAATCAAGGAGCTCAACATAAGAACAGCACACAGATCATTAACAGCTACAATGACATTTGAGGATTGTGGTTCTTTTGTCCCTAATCCCAGCACAAGGTCAGTTCACGCCTCATCTGCGAAAGCGGTGTCCTGCCGCAACAGGCTCGAGACTTCAAAAGAGTGGGAAGCAATCAACCCCAAAAACCCTAAGCAGCAAACCTACCCGAACCCCAAACCCCAAACCCCAAACCCCAAACCCGCAACCCTAAACCCTAAACCCTAATCCCTAAACCCTCAATAAACCCTCCTGAAGTGTCAACACTCCTGTGGGAGATCGGGTGCTGTGATTCCGTTGGCCCTACAAGTATCAGGTCTAAACCTTAAACCCTAAACCCTAAACCCTAAACCCTAAGCCCTAAGCCCTTAGCCCTAAACCCCTAAACCCTGAACCCTAAACCCTAAACCCTAGCCCTAAACCCTAGCCCTAAACCCTAAAGTCCCCAACCCTAAGGAATGTCGGAATGTCGGATTGGGTGTTTTGGGGGGTTCTCCTCGGGCTCGTCGCTGACGATGGAGACTCGCACTCCGACCTGCAGGTCTCCAATTCCACCCCTTCTAAGGGGTTTAGGGTTTAGGGTTTAGAGTTTAGGGTTTAGGGTTTGGGAAATTTAAGGGTGGACTTCGCGTGTAGCGTAGGAAACCAGAGCTCCCAGATCCCCAGTTCGGGTCCCACGTACCTGCGCGCCCTAGAAAGCCTATAGCCTACAAACCCTAGAAGCCCTATGCACCCTTGAGAACCCTATAACCCCCCTCAACAAAAGCCCTAAATCCCAAACCCACAAGCCTCAAACCCATGAACCTAAACTAAACTCTGAACACAATGACAACCCTGTAAATCCCATAAAACCCTGAAAGCCTGACCCTTCGGCATGCCCAGTGATGCCAGCGTCCATGAGCGGGATTTGCCGCCAGGCCGTGGTAAACATCGCATGCACACCTGACTGACATAGTATGAAAACATGGCCCCTAAACCCTAAACCCTAAACACTGAACCCTAAACCCTAAACCCTAAACCCTACACCCTAAATCCTAAACCCTAAACCCTGAACCCTAAACCCTAAACCCTGAACCCTAAACCCTACAACGTAAGCCGTGCCTGGACGTGGATGCCGCCGTACCGTCCCTGCTTATGGGTGAGCGAGATCACGTGGATGCGACTCGTCAAGTTGCCAGCCCACGAACCCCAAACCCTAACCCTAAAGGAGCGGAAGGAAAGTCCTCTTCCCGGCCTGGCTCATGTAGTCGGCGTCTTACCCTTCTCTCCCACCTCGTCTACATCGATCGGTGCCAGCATGCGTTGATCATCTCGCACTTGGTCACCAGCCCACCCCCTAAACCCACCCTACATCCCTAAACCCGAAACCCTGAACCCCCAAACCCTAAATTCCTAAACCCATATCCCTAAACCCTAAACCCTATGTAAATCCCTAAGCCCTTAACCCCTCAACCCTAAACCCTGACTCCCTAAACCCTGGCCCCTGAATCCATAAACCCTGACCCCTGAATCCCTAAACCCTAAACCCTAAATCCCTAAACTCGAAAAGCCTTAACCCTAAAAGCCCCACAAGCCCTGAGCTCCAGACGTCTGCATCCAGTGGCGGGAGCCAGTGCAGGGTCTCCCTCCTCAGCTCCTCTTCAGGTCCCGGAGTGCCTAGGTGTGTTTCGTGGATTTAGGGTTTAACCTAGGGTCTAGGGTTTAGGGTTCAGGGTTTAGGACTGGATTTTGAGTCCAAGGTCTTGTTTCGGCTGGCCGCGGCTTCTGGTATCCCAGAAACCTCTCAAACCTTTGCCCTCAGTACTAAATCAGTGGGCCTCCATATTTAAGTGCCATTCTGGCATTCGGCGCCGAACTCCATAGTGGTACTACGAATTGGGAAAGCCCTGAACACCACCAGTTCCACAGGTTTGGGATTGACGAGGTAGGGTTTGTATGGCTTGGGTTTATCGGGTTTATCACCCTCAACCCGAAACCCTAAACCCCAAACCCGAAACCCTAAACCCTAAACCGGGTTTATCGGGGTTAATTATCGGGTTTCTAGGGCTTAAAGATTTAGGGTGGTACCTTGAGCTCAACAAGACTTAACAGTGGTTTGATCCCTTCAGGGTCTTCAATAATGCGGAACCCTACACCCTAAACCCTAAACCCTAACGAAACATGCCCTAAATCCAACCCATGGGGCAACCCATGAGAGGCCCCTGAGAATTTCCCCCCCCCCCCCCCCAAGTAAGGTTCAAGTTCCAAGGAGACACCTGGAGGATGATCTTAACTTAATGTGGCTTAGTCTGGTTTAGGCTTTGGGCTTTGGGGTTTGGGGGAAGCCATAAGAGGAATTCAACATAACGTACGCCTCATAAATGGAGGAGCAACAAATTTGCCTTGGGGACGGAACATGACCCCAGAATTGGTTCCCTTAGTCCCCAAACCCTAAACCCCAAACCCCAGACCCCAAACCCTAAACCCTAGGAACCTCACAGTTGGGTCCTCTGCTGGGAGCCATGGTACCCATCGGGCGAGCTGCTTGTCATACTCGAGCGGAAGGGCCTTGCGGAGGCTTTGAGTGGACGACAAGGACTCCACATCTCTACATATATATATATATACAGACGCATGAATATATCAACATACATATAAGATAGCCCTTACTACCCTCTGAAAATATTTAGGGTTTAAGGCTTTAGGGTGATCAAGGGCCGAATGTTGCCCAAGGGATTAGGGCTTAATTAGGGACCTTTAAACCCCAAAGCCCTACTTCAACCGAATTCAGCTGAAAATGGGGTACGTACCCTAAACCCTAAACCCTAACCCTTAACCCCTAAACCCTAAACCCTAACCTACACCCCAAAGGCCCGAAACATCTTTCAACACCTGCTCCAATTGTCGCTGAGTCAGAAAGCCCCGCCTCACGCCCAGCCTCCTGGCTGCAAGAGGGAGGTTAGGGTTTCGGGTTTCGGGTTTCGGGTTTCGGGTTTAGGGTTTAGGGTTTCGGGTTTAGGGTTTACGGTTTGGGGTTTGGGGTTTAGGGCTTTAGGGGCTGTAGCGGCTTGGGGACTTGCGGGCTTGGGGGTTTGGGGGGTTTGGAAGGGGTTTGGAAGGGGTTTGGAAGGGGTTTGGAAGGGGTTTGGAAGGGGTTTCGGGAGTGTGCGGGTTTGAGGGGTTTCGAAACCCCTACTCGAAATCCCCCAAAACTCCTAAGCCCCCCAAACCCCCCAAGCTCCCGGGGTTTAGGGTGCTAGGTTGCCCAGTCACAGAAAGGATGCGCTCGGCTGGCGTATGACGGACCCGATCGTCAGCCCTCAACCCCAAACCTAAACCCTTAACCCTTGACCCTTAACCCTAAACACCAAAACCCTAAACCCTAAACCCCCCAGAACCCTAAACCCTATACCCACCCAAAACTCTAGACTCGAAACCCTACGCCACCTTGAGCCACAGGCGCCGGAAACCTTCGAAAGCCCTCGCTGCCACATAAGACAGACTGGCGGTCCCCACTTAGAATGTCCGGGGTTTAGGGTTTAGGGTTAAGGGTTTAGGGTTACGGGCTTAGGGGGTGTAGGGTTTAGGGGTTTAGGGGTTTAGGGGTTTAGGGGTTTAGGGGTTTAGGGGTTTAGGGGTTTAGGGGTTTAGGGGTTTAGGGGTTTAAGGGTTTACGGGTTTAGGGGTTTAGGGGTTTAGGGGTTCAGGGGTTTAAGGGTTTACGGGTTTAGGGGTTTAGGGGTTTAGGGGTTTAGGGGTTTAGGGGTTTACGGGTTTAGGGGTTTAGGGGTTTAGGGGCTCCTTCCGCGACAATGCCAGCCCCGGGATTCGCGACCTGGGCGAGACTACGGAGGCTCTATCGCCCCAATGGTACACCCTAAACCCTGAACCCCTCAACCCTAAGCCCCTAACCCCTAAACCCCTACACCCCTAACCCCTAACCCGTAAACCCCTAAACCCTAAACCCTGAATCCTTAAACCCTGGCACCCCAGGATCTGTCTCCCACTTCGGAGGACAGCTCCAGGAGTGGGTTTGGGGTTTAGGGTTTAGGGTTTATGGTCTAGGAGTCTTCTCAGGTGCTTGGAGGATTGGGGAACTTAGAAAGTACTTGTGGGCTAGTAGGGTCACCCCCCAGCTTGGGCAGGGGTATATGCAGGGTTCGATTTTAGGGTTTAGGGTTTAGGGCTGGGGTTTTAGGGTGCTGAATCCCGAACACCCAAGCCCTAATCCCTATAGGGGGGGTAAACGAGGGACCAAGGCTTCTAAAGAAGCCCCAAACCCGAAACCTGCATAGAACCTTCACCCATGACCCTGAGCACTACGCCCCTCAACTTCGCACGCGCCGCTTGCTTCGAGGATAGTCGTTTAGGGTTTAGGGTTTAGGGTTTAGGGTTTATACTTTCTTGGATGCTGAGGGTATGATGTTGGCATTGATTTTGGCCAATTTTGGCTCCTGCGTTAGTTGCATTCTCGAAACCATGCCGTGAACTGCAGAACCTACTTCTTGTAGGGCCCCAAGGTCCTACACCCTACAAAAAGTAGGGTCTGGAAGGTTATAGCAAAACCTAGTTGCACCGAAGCCCTACATCCTGTGCGCGAAAAAGTGCTCAACAAGCCTTATGCCCTGAACCCTGCACCCTGAACCCTGAACCCTACCCTAATGCCTAAACCCTAAACCCTAAACCCTAAACCCTAATCCCTAAACCCTAAACCCTGAACCCTGAACCCTAAACCCTAAACCCTAATCCCTGAACCCTGAACCCTAAACCCTACCCTGGGGCCCGCGGCCAGGTGTCTCCATCGTCCCAGCGGACACGGTGTGATTGGCCTCGGCAGCATCCGCAGAAGGTTGCCGAGCCCTCTACCATACTTCATAGGTAGTTCAGGTTTAGGGTTTAGAGTTTAGGGTTTAGGATTTAGGGTTTAGGGGTAGTTATAAGCAACGGAATATGCGGTGAAAACTATTGGGCCCTAAGCCCTAAGTTCTAAACCTCCACTCATAGCTACCCATGAACTTTCTGTCTTAAAGCCGAAGCGTCAGGGGTCTAGCGTTCATAACCCCAAGCCCTAAACCCGAAACCCTAAACCATAAGCCCTAAACCCTAAACCCTAAACCCTAAACCCTAAACCCTAGCCTTTAGGCTATTCCACGTCAAGGGCCCCCCGGCGCTCGTAGAATCCGTGGAACTCTTCACAGGGGACCTGGTGAAGTCGCTATTTTGTGCCTTCAAAGGCAAACAGGATTCTAGGTTTCCAAGTAAACTAGGATTAACAAGGGTTTTTTGCTTAAAGGGGTTTATAGGGGAACCTAGAGCCCCCAAAAAGGGAATAAGGGCACTACTGGGCATCCTAGGATTCGGGTCTAGGGTTTACAAGTTGAGGGCTCTAACGGCTTCAGGGCCTAAGAGATCTTCAGGGTTTAGGGCTTGAGGCGTGAGGCATGGGCCCCAGACATCCTAGACACCTAAAGGCTCGGCTCAGGGTTTCGGATTTCGGGTTTAGGGTTTAGGGTTTAGGGTTTAGGGTTTAGGGTTTAGGGTTTAGGGTTTGGGTTTAGGGTTCAGGGGTTAGGGTTAGGGCTTGGGGTTTGGAGCCCCCGAGCTCCAAAGAGCATCAAATCGCCCCGAATAGCATACTTGAAACAAAATGTTTGCAGCAACCCTAAACACTAAACCCTAAAAGCCTAAATTCCCCAAGAACATGGCATACAAGTTGAAGAACTTCGACATCAACCCCCCCCCCCCCCCCCCCCAACCTAGGTTCTGAGTCGTAAACACTCCTAGACCAGGGTAAGGGACCATACTAAGGGCCCATGGTTCTGAATGCAGGCAAACCCTGCATCCTAAACCTCAACCCTAAAAGGCCCTAAACCCTAAAACCCCAAAGCCCTCAGCCTTGTTGCCGTCCCTAAACCTCAACCCTAAAAGGCCCTAAACCCTAAAACCCCAAACCCGAAAGCCCTCAGCCTTGTTGCCGTCCCCGGTCTGCCGGAGAGTAAAAGTATCGGTGCCCCCGTCCACGATGAGAACATCCCGGCTGCCTGGAAACCAGGCATCTGGTTAGGGTTTAGGGTCAAGGGTTGAGGGTTGAGGGTTGAGGGGTTAATTCCCCCCCCCCCCCCAACCACAAAAAAAAAAAACGAGACGACAAAACAACCTTAGACTCCTAAACCCACAAGGAGAATGCCACAATATAAACGGGGAGACCCTTTCTCGCAGGGTTTCCCAAATCCTTTTCTGCGAGGGCGCACCCACATTTCATGTGAAGCTTTGGCCTTTACAGTAGGGCCTTGTCTCCTGTCGTAGGGCAACTGCAATCGCTCGAGGCTTGCCACCTTGAACTATCCCAAACTCCAGGCCCACCAAGATGATCCAGAGTAGCCTTGGAGAACAAGCCCTTAACGCTAAACCCCCTAAAACCACTGATCCCCAAACCCTTTCAAGCGAATCTCAAAGACGGCCGTCTCCACATGGCTCGTGTAGATGTCGGCCCTCATGGCCCGGTTCCTCGCTCTTCACGCGTGCCTCCTTCACTTCCAGCTTGGCACCCTCGGAATTCCGAAGCCTCCACATCTTCCTACTGGTTCTTCGTAAAGACTGAGGGGATCCGGCACCCTATGTAATCCCTTAAATGGGTACATATTGGGATGTTCCACCATCCCTGTTAAGGACTCTTGGTCTAAGGGGGAACATCCCAAGGTATATATAAGGGTATATCAGGCACCTCATTCCCTCATCCTGCTAAGAACCACTTGGTAGCCCAGTAACCATCTTAAAGTAAGGGCACCCTTCTTTTGGGTTGGTTACTTTATAAGAGAAACCCAGAACCCCAAAAAAGGGTAAAGGGTACCACAGGGCTACCGGGTTCATATTTCTTGTATCCCCAAAAGGCCACCAGGCATATGCACTCACCAATATTAAAAAGGAACCTTATATACACTCACCAATAACAGTAATATAAACCCTACTTCATATGAGGGACCTCATTCCCTCATCCCCAGTAGGTCTTCTCAGCGCGGCCCATCCTGCTTCTGTGCAGCAGGGTTCTCGACTCGCCAAAGATGCGCTGGCATGAAAGTTCCTATAGACCCTAAGCCGTAAGCAACCTTAAACCCTAAACCCTAAACCCTAAACCCTAAACCCGTTATCCTAACCCTGAACCCAAACCCCAACCCTAAACCCTGAACCCTGAACCCTAAAACCTACACCCTAAACCCTAAACCCTAAACCCTAAGCCAAAAACGACCCGAAGACCGAAGAGTGTCCCAGGCCAGGCGCCTCGCGGCCAGACGACCTGATCTCCGACGACCTCAATCGGCTCCTCGTCGTCACTTCGCCAGGCCTGGGCTCTGCCAGAAGGAGGGTTTAGGGTTTAGGGTTTGGGGTTTAGGGTTTGGGGTTTAGGGTTTGGGGTTTAGGGTTTTGGGGTTTAGGGTTTTGGGGTTTAGGGTTTGGGGTTTAGGGTTTGGGGTTTAGGGTTTAGGGTTTGGCTCACACCCAAATCCCCTTTAGTTCTCTCTTCCGGACGAGATTGCTGCGAGGAATGAAAAACGTGTCACTGAGCTCGAGCTCCGCTACCAGTTTCAGAAGCGGGGTACTGGGGCCGGAGTCACAGTGACTAGACTACGTAGCTTGCTTCTCCGTCTGAGCCCAAGGCGCCTGTCATGCAGGAACGTGTCTTAAGGTCGCTATTGACGATTGCATGCTTGTTCATGCCTATACAAGTGTTCGACTAACAGCTTCTACTCAACACGAAATCCAACTCGGTGCCTGTCAACAGGAAAATCTCACAAGGGTTTTGGGGTTAGGGTTTGGGGTTTAGGGTTTGGGGTTTAGGGTTTGGGGTTTAGGGTTTCGGGTTTAGGGCTTAGGGTTTAGGGTTTGGGGTTTGGGTTAGTTTAGGGTTTAAGGTTTGTGGTTTAGGCTTTAGGGTTTAGGGTTTGGGGTTTAGGGTTTAGGGTTTGTGGTTGAGGGCTTAGGGTTTGGGGTTCGGGCTTTGGGGTTTAGAGCTTGGGGTTTAGGGTTTGGTGTTGAGGGTGTGGGGTTTGGGGTTTAGGGTTTATAGGGTTTCGGGTTGATAGGGTCTAGGGTTTAGGGTTGAGGGTTTAGGGTTTAGGGTTTGGGGTTGAGGGTTTCGGGTTTATAGCGTTCGGGTTTATAGGCTTTAGGGCTTATAGGGTTTATAGGGTTTTCTAGGGTTTATGGGTTTCTGTTAGGGTTTATCGGGCGTTTATAGGGATTATGGGGGCTCATGGGGCTTAGGGTTTTGGGGGGGTTTTTGGTTTGGGTGGGTGGGCTTGAAGACTCTCCAAGATGGGCAATGCGTTGTCATTACTTCGGCTATAAGCCCGAAGCCCAATACTAGATGCGACACCTGGGATTTTGCCATCAGGCGACCCTGGGCCTCTCGCAGCCACCGAGTCAGCAGGAGAAGCTGACGGGTCCGGGCATCAGACACAGTGCATGTCTTGTTGCGGCTGGCGCGCTGCAGGTTGCGCCACGCTCGCTCGGTCCCCACTGTCCCGAGGGATACACGATGACCAGCCTGGATTGCCCACAGCGTGCTGCGGTACGCGGCCACCACCCCACGCGCAATGAAGGTGCGGGACTGCAGTCGACAAGCGGGCTGGAATGAACTGCATCCAGCGGGTGCAGCCAGAGATCCGGGCTTGACCGACGGCTGCTGAACGGCGCCGTCCCGACTGAACTAAACCCTCCTACTTGCTTAAGAACCTGAGCCCTAGGTCTCAAACCCTACATCCCAATCCCTACACCCCCTGAACCCTAGCCTCAACCCTAAACCCTCCTACTTGCTTAAGAACCCGGCCCTCCAAACTTATACTACCCTTATATAAGGAAGAGTATGTTCACATTTTGGGTGATTCGTAAGCAAATAGTAGTAACCCTTACCACTTGGGATGTTCCCCCTCATACGAACAGTCCTTAATAGGAAGTCTAAAATCCCACTAGTATCAATCCCTATCAAGGACTGGTCAAGGACTCGATGATGTGGCGCTTCTATGCAGTCCCTTAGTTAGTACAAGAAGTAAGGGGGAACATCCCAACCTACCACCCTAAGCCCTCCCACAAACAACCGAACAAAAATCACCCTGAACCCGAAACCCGAAACCCCAAACCCTAAACACTCCAACACCTTCAAAGGCTTGGTGCTGAGCCCCCTGAAGCTCCGTGAGGATGTGCGGCCAGGCGAGGCAGTCGCCGAAGTGGCGTCCGGTCCTGGATGACGACCGATAGGGTTCAGGGTAGTAGACCCTAAACCCTAAACCCTAAACCCCAAACCCTAAACCCTATACCCTAAACCCTAAAACCCTGAACCCTAAACCCTGCTAAGCCCCTAAACCCTAACCCCTAAACCCACCGAACTCCCAAACGCTCCACGCCTCCTGAAATCCTTTCCTCCCTCCGCCACCACTGCCCAACAAGGTTTAAAGAACCTTCGTGAATGAATCCTTGTGTTCGGCACCTTTGTGAGTAGGGCGGCAGCTACGGGTTGCTGTAGGACCCCGAACCCAAAATCCCTAAACCCTAAACCCTCAACCCTCAACCCTAAACCCCCAAAAAATCCGGCGCCTCACGTCCAGGAAGGCTGCCCATGACCTGCCACCCGTGGTGTGCACGACAAGGTTTTGTGGGTGCCCCTCAGCGTTTCTTGAGCTTCGGAGTTTAGGTTTGGGGTTTGGGGTTCGGGGTTTGGGGTTTAGGGTTTGGAGCTTAGGGTTTAGGGTTCAAGATTTATGGTTTAGGGTTAGGGGTCGGCGGGTTGGGGTTTAGGGTTTGGGGAAGGGAGGGGATGGTGTTCAGACCAGGTCTATAATATATCATTGACTTAAAAGAATTGTGGGCGAACAGGTCTTTACGGGTGGGTTGATTACCGTTTCATGAAGGAACCCAGACAATCGAAACCCCAAAGCCGGCAACGCCTAGACCAAAAGCCCTTAAACCCTAAACCCAAAACCCCACCCCTAAACCCTTAGCCACAAAAGGGCCAAAAGGGTACCACTGGGTATGCCGAGTCCACAAGGCCTACGAAAGAATGTAAAGCAGGAGCGCTACCGGACGAGGGGCTTAGGGGTTTGGGTTTAAGGATCTAAAACCCGTGCAAGTTGTAGGTGTTTTTGATTTCTCCGGTAGGCAGGGGAGGGGGGGAGTGGAGTGCTTAAAAGCTTACGGGTTTCGGGTAACATGACCCAAACTTGCACGAGCACTCAGCCAACACATCAGGGCGTGCCCGGCGGAGAAGGTGTCATAGACCTTGCGCCTTGGCCGAAGCCCTAAACCCGAAACCCTAAACCCTAAACCCCATGCCCTGAAGCCTCCAGGGCACTCAGCGAACTTAGCGACGAATTCAAGGTTGTGGAGTTCATTGACCCCGTGACATCGGAAAACATACCCCGGAACCAAGTGAGTCACTAAATGTCCAAACCCCTACCCTAAACCCTAAACCCTAAACCCTAACCCTAAACCCTCATCCACAGATAGCAAAGCAGGCCACTGGGAAGGTAATCCTGCTTTGCGATTTCGGGCTTTCTTGGTTCTACGATGGCGCCGATGACTAGCAGTGTTCCGTTGAGTCAAGACTTTAGGTTCCTCTCATGACAGGGTCAAAGCAAGGAACGAAAAGGATCTCTTGGCCCAAGGTTTGTTCAACCTTAAGCCCTGCGTCCCCATAAACCGCGCTAAGCCCAAAGCATACACCGGGCCGGGGACAAGGAGAAGCTTGGAAGAAGAACGAGTATATGATGCCGTTCTGAGCTACTCGACCCAAGAGCAACCAGGAGTGAAAAAGGTGTGCCCTTTTGGGCTTCAACAGGGCTTCTGAGGGGCTCCTATGCCCTAACAAAAGGGAAGAAGGGCCTACTCGACCCAGGCTAGGTCTTGCGGTTTCGGTTTAGGGTTTAGGGTTTAGGGTTTAGGGTTCAGGGTTCAGGGTTCAGGGTTCAGGGTTCAGGGTTCAGGGTTCAGGGTTTAGGGTTTAGGGTTTAGGGTTTAGGGTTTAGGGTTTAGGGTTTAGGGTTCAGGGGAACCCGCCCCCCCTAGGGGCATGTAAGCCGAAAGAGTTCTGAACTCAATCCAGCAACCCCTTACCAACAAGAAGCGCCGCCTCGTCCCCCACTTCTGCGAGCACTTCTGAACCCTAAACCCTAAACCCTAAACCCTAGACCCTAAACCCTAAACCCTCTAAGACCCTAAGCCCCAAACCCTCAACCCTCAACCCCGGAGATCCTGACTCCACGCACCCCGGGGATCCAGCAGCCGCAGCACCACGCGCTTGGTGTCTTCGGAGAGGTGATACTGGCAGTCGCCTGTTAGGGTTTAGGGTTTAGGGTTTAGGGTTTAGGGTTTAGGGTTCGAGGGGCGTTTTTAGGGCAAAGGCTTATTCTTTGGGTTTAGGGTTTAGGATGCAATCTCATGTGCTTTTTTGGCGGGTTTAGGGCTCACAAAGTTTGGGATGCAGGAGGGTTTAGGGTTTTCGGGTTTTGGGTTTGGGCTGTAGTGTTTAGGGTGCTTGGGTTTAGGGTGGGGGGGTTCTGGGGTTTGCGGTTGGAAGTTCTGCTAGTGATTCAGGGGGTTTTGGGGAATTTCGGTTTTGTATTGAAGGGCTCGGGTCAAGCTTAAGGGTTGAGGGCTTGAGGGGCCGAATCCTTCAAACGTAGTTGTCCAATTTCCCTCCTGGAACTGAAAAAAAAGCCTTAGAGTTGATGGTTTTGGTACCCACTTTGGATACGATTACAACCTCGTTGGGCTATTGGGGATAGGAATGCTTAAAACCCTCTCATCGCTGCAGCTATTACCCCAATGTTGAGCTCCTTGACCCCGGGATGTCACTGGGTTAGAAGCACAAAGTTATAGGTAATGTATGCCGACAGGATCTAGAAAGTAAACGCTTCAGCTCCTATCACGTACCCAATGCGAGCACAGGCCGCTACAGTGGAGGCTCCAGGGTTTAGGGTTTAGGGTTTAGGGTTTAGAGCTCCGTTTATAGATCAGCAGTCTATACACATGGATGCAAAGTGGACGGGTTACCTGCCGTAGACCCCCTATACTAAAACTCTAAACCCAGGCACTCCTGGGACCTTCATATCTGTCAACTTGGTAGCCCAGAAACCATATTAGCATAAGGGTACGCTTTTTGGGTTGGCTACTTTATTATCTAGGGAGTAACCTAGGAATAAAAAGGGTACCCTGTTGATTTGAAGGGAATTATAAGGGAAACCCAACCCCAAAAGAAGAAAACAAGTGCCTACTCCCGGTCCTAGTTATAAGGGAACCTTGAACCAACAAAAGGAAGAAGATACCACCGGGCTGCCAAGCTAAGGAATATTTCTAGGGATGGCCCTTAAAACCCTCAAAACCCTCTGAAAGAATATTCCTGAAGATGACCCTCCTAAACCCAGCCAGGGAAAATATGTGATCCTCTTCAACCCTAAGCCCTAAACCCACAACCTAAACAGCCTACCTAGGAAAGCGGGAGCTGGGGTCTCTGGGAAGGAGCTTTTGCGTGCCGGCCTGGGATGATGGAGCCCCACCTCAGGAAGGTGGTTTTGGTTCTTCTCGGGGGGTGTGTGTGTGTGGGGGGGGGGGGCTTCAGGCGGGTTTAGGGTGTTAAGGGCGAGGGGAGTATCGCTCTGCCGCAAACTCCACAACGCTAGGTTTTGACCCCCTAGGTGATTTTGGGGTTGGGGGGGGGGGGAGGCTTCGACAACATGACGTGCGATTGATTGCGGAGTAGATCTGAAGGATAAGTTTCTTACTGGTTTTCGGTGGGGATGAGGAAATTAGGACCGTAGATTTTCCGCGTCAATCAAGGGCAATATACAGGGGCATCAGGTGTTCTATGTAGACAGGGTTTAAGGTCAGGGTTGAGGGTTTGCGTCCAAACTTCAAATACCCAAAGGCCCTAAACCCTTTGAGAACCCTCAACCTTCCTTTAAACCTGCTCTGGTATTCGGAAAACAAGATTTGGAGGCTTGGGGCTTCGGATTTATGATTTAAGGCGTCGGGTGCACCCTAAACCCTAAACCCTAAACCCTAAACCCTTTTCGATAACCAAGCCACATGGGGTTCAGGGTCCACTTCTTGCACTATGCCAAAAGTCCACTGCTGGCTAGTGTAGTTCTCTTAGGGTCGTCTGTGGGGTTCCAAAGAAGGCGGCCCCGAAAAATTAGGGCATGCAAACAGGGACCGCAACAGGTTTAGGGTCTAGGGTTTAGGGTTTAGGGTGCAGGGTTCAGGGTTCAGAGTTTAGGGTTTAGGGTTTAGGGTATCGAACAGGGTTTAGGGCTTAGGCTCTGGGTCTAGGGTTTAGGGCCCTGGTAGCCATGGGGATGTACGATGGCCCATGAAACCTGAAGGCCCGTCCATGCCATGTGCTTGGGGAAGTGTATCATTTAACATACAGGGGCTATAAGGGGATGATCTAGGCATACCCCCAAACCCTAAACCCTAACTCTAAACCCTAAACCCTAAGCCCTAAGCCCTAAGCCGTAAGCCCTAAACCCTAAACCCTAAACCCTAAACCCTACACCCTAAACCCTAAACGCCCAAGTGCGGGCGGAGCCACAGGTTCAGCCACTGGTGGCAGTAGGTCATCCGTGCCGCGGTATCTGTAATGGTGACGCGGACGAGGTTCGGCCTAGGGAGCTGCAGCCCCGCTGTGTTCCGTGCAATCTGAACTCAGGTTGGGTTTAGGGTTTAGGGTGTAGGGTTTATAGAAATTGTTTAGGGTTTGGGTCGCAAAAAGTTTTGAGCGAAAGTTTTGAGCGAAACGTTTTGAGCGACAGTTTTGCGCGGAATTTATGTAGAGCTATGATTTTGTTCTGGGAGAGGGGAGGGGGTTGGGTGGGGAGGAGCGGGTCCGGCCTTGCATCCGTTTCTGTGTGCCTACCCAAATGCGTCGCCGCTTCGGCGGCTGCTCCAAACTCCAGAGAATGGCATTCGGGCTGTCAGGTTGCGCAGGTACCCCCTGCAGCACCACACGAACAGGATCGCTCCAGGTCATGGCGACTGGATCGCGTCGACCTCCGAAACGAGAGCCCAGGGAATTGACCGTCCATTTGGCAGTTTGATATCGTAGACCCCCGATAGGGGTCGTGATATTCAGCTGATAAGAACAGATACTACACTTTGATCTTACGCAAAAATCCGAGAAGCGATGCCCGATGCTGATGAAAATGAAAGTGTGTAGTCATTAAATGTAGCCCAAAATAAGGTGTCCATGCAGCATCTGATGTCTCATTGCAGAGTCCAGAGAATATTGGTCTTCATAAACAGGCTCACAGGGAGAAGTGGAATGCAAATTTGAAATAAGATCATCCACAGACTGCGTGTGCTTGAAGGAACCAGGGACAGGTTTCAGCGTGTCAGCCTCGCTCTCGACGCTGTGACCGCTCAACGCACGCAGCAGAAATTTGACACGCCTCTTGTTGAAGGCACAGCTCAGCAAGCAACTGTACGAGCTCTCTGAGACTCCTGCTCCTTTGATGAAAGTTCGCCATGTTGCAGGTGACTAGTCTTAAATGCGTCGGAGAAAGGATGCTCTTTTGAGCCGACTTTCGGATTCCTAATTTAAAAGCGGTGAAATACGTTAGGCGGGTCCTGCATTACTTTTCGACGAGGATTTTCGCCACAGCTCCTGGTTGATTTGCAAGATTTCCAACATGAGGCTATGAAGGAGGGAAAGTTGAGGTGAAGCCAGTAGATCTCGGGGGCTCTAAAGGAGGTGAAGCTCGGAGCTCTCGGGAACCCTAGAGGAGGAAAAACCTGGAGCTGTCAAAACTCTAAATGAGGCGAAACCTGCAGTTTTCGATATAATGTGTTTACATGTACAGCCATGTTTGTTGCACTCTTGAGGGGTCTCTCAACTGGTTGGAACCTGGGGGTTTCGAGTTCCCTAAACTCATGGGAACCTAAAATTCTCAGGGCGCTGGATTCGTCGGAACCTAGAGGTCTCGGGCGCCCTGGAGGAGGCGAAGCCTGGGGCCCTGAGGGAGGTGAAACCTGCCCTCAAGAAAAGGAGGTGCCCGACAAAAGGTGAAGTGTGGAGTTTATCCGGTGCGCTAAAGGAGCTGAAGCCCGGAACTTCCTGGAACTCTCGGCTGCTTTAAAGGAGGCCCGGAGCTCTGGGGGCGTTAAAGGAGGTGAAGCCGGAGGTCTGGTTGAAGGAGGTGAAGCTTTGAGTTTGGGGGCCTTAAAGGAGGTTAAGCCTGGAGCTCTCGGGGGTCCCAAAAAGTGAAGCCTGGAGCTTTCGGGGATCCTAAAACAAGTGTCAAGGGTGCAGCCTGGAGCTCTCGCGGGGCAAAAAAAAAGTGGGGCGTTGCCTTGAGCTCTCGCAGCTCTAGGGGAGGTTTTGGGGGGCCCTGAAAGAGGCGCAGCCTGGCTTTTAAAGGAGGTGCAGCCTGGCGTGCCCAAACATGGAGCTGTCGGGGGGCTTTGGAGGTGCAGCCTGGCAAAGGCAGCCTGGTGCTCTCAGGGGCCTTAAAGGAGGTGCAGAGTCAGGCGGGGTTTCAAAGAACCGGAGCTTTCGGGGCCTAAAGAGGTGCAGCCTGGAGCTTTTGCAGGATTTGCAGCCTGGAGCTTTGGGCTTTAAAGGAGGTGCAGCCTGGAGCTCTCGGGTGGCCCTATAACAGGGGTGCAGCTCTTGGTGGCCCTGAAGGAGGTGCAGCCCGGAGCCCTTGTGTTTTAAAGGAGCTCACTGTGCAGCCTGACTTCGGGCTCAGTGCAGTCGATGATGGTCACTGTGCAGCCTGGAGCTTTGGGAATGGTTGGTCCCTAACGAAAGTTTTGAACGAACGTTTTGGACGAAAGTTTTTGTTTTTGGAACTCTGGTTTCCCTTTTCTTTTTCTTTTTCTTTGGGTTGCTTTGGGGGTTGGGGGGGGGGGGTTTTTGGGGCGGGGGGGGCTGGGGGGGTGGGGGCTGAGCTGGGGGTGGGGGGCTGAGCGGGCTGAGCGAGAGTGGGGGGGGGGGGGCTGGCGGGGGGGGGGGGCTGAGCGGGAGGGAGGGGGGAGCTGGGCGGGAAAAAGCTCTGCGGGGAAAGCCCCAGGTTTAAGTAAATTCAATATTTGGTTTGCAGAGGTGTTTTAGATTAATATACTTAAATTCAGCTTGTCAGATGTTTAGACAAAAAACTTGAGAAGTTCATAATGATACCACATACAATTTCTATTTATTTTGTTTTGAGGTTTTAGGGTTTTGAGTTTAGGGGTAGGCTTGAACCCCTCACAGCTCAGGGTTAGGCTACAGGCTGGCTCCCGTGTGCTCCCTGTACTCTTCATTGGGGTTGGGTGGTTCATGTACAAGTAATTAATTCTTCTAGCTTCTCAGCAGCATAGGGTGTAGGGTTTAGGGTTTCGGACCCTAGACCCGAGTATAGGGGCCTCAATAATTAGAATAGGGATTTTTTTTTTTTTGGGGGGGGGGGCGTGTAGAGAATAATTCCATAGGGGCTAAGCTGGCACCCCAGTACAGTGCCTTGACATGGTCACTTTTCCAAAATGTGGCCCTTATTTTGTGTACGCAAAGAAGGACCATCAGAGAACTGACCTTGTTGAGATTTGGGGGGTTTGCGATAGTAAGGGACCCCTACGGGCCCTACTAATACAGACCCCCCAAATACACGGTAGGATTCCCTTCTGCAAGAGGTGGTGGAATAGACAAACTATTCAAGAAATGTTGCCCGCGCCAACAGGTATTAGCTCAGGGCTGGAAGGAGAATCGCTATAAACAGGTGTAGGTGTTGATGTTGCAATCCAGGTGATAGTATCCCTATCAACGGGTCAGGTCCGGGAGCAACTCCTTTCCCAACAGAAGACCACCCTTGCACCGCGAGTGCAAGAGGATACTCAGGCTTGCAAGACCTGAGGGGTGCACAAGCGTATTGACCGGTATCACCTAGGTTTCCCTTATGGTGTCTATCAGTCGCCACCTTATGCTCTCCGGTTCCACCTCCCCTGGCGCCTAGGTTTCCCTTATGGCTTTCCAGTATTAGTAGAACGCAGAGCGAGGTTAGGGGACTATACAGCGAGGGGCAAAAGAAATCTTTTCTAACTGCAAAGCTCAAAGAGCGCTCTTGAGCTGGTAAGCGCTGCGGTCGTAGCGCACATCATCTAGACATTCAACTGATAAAACACCTGTACATGTCTGACAGAGGCACTGAGCATGATCGACCAATCAGATATTATCAGAAGGTCACCATTGTCATCACCACCACATATTAACGGTCTCCTCGTTCTTGTCCTGGACGTATTATGATCGGTTCCTCATCATCATCTATCATCATTAACCTGTCACGTTCATGCTCAAACCCGAAAGTACATGACTGCCAGACCAGACATAGATCAAAAGTTACTTATACATGATGCGCCAAACACCCCCCGTTATGGGAGCGATCAGCGACCATCAAAAGCGTTGAATTATGTGTCGAAGTTTGTGGTTCGCTTCCAGCCAGAACGCCACACAGCGTGGGACGAACATCGAGAGGTCCCAGCCCCTTCGGAGCCGTGCAGACCCACCACCACCCCCAATTAAGGGATCTCACGATATACCGTCCCGTCCCGGGAAGCAACACGGCCTCCACGAACCATCCCATTCAACGCATTGGCGCGATCATCCCCATATGCTTGGAGGTCGGCCAGCCTTGCGTTAAATATTATAACTTGTCAGGAAAACATATTATCCACGGTTCCCCGAATATTATTTCTGTACGCCACTCTCATCCGTTCACTTATATTCAGAACATGTAGAGGATAACGTAGTTCCTCGCCCTCCCGGGTCTTATTGGTGGCCAGCCATGCCCTCTCTGTATGACTTCTCTCTTCACTGTTGCCAGGCCGTGAGGACTTACTGGTGATCAGCCAAGCCCCTGTGCCCCAATAGTGGCAGTCCTCATAGTGGCGACTCTCTGGGCCTTACTGGTGATCAGCCATGCCCTGCTCTCTTCGGAATCGTTCTTGCACCAGCGCAGTTTCACCATTCATCCACACGGACTTTCCCATGAGGTTGCCGACGGCATTATTACTCACTGCCCCGCCGCTCGCAGACATCCCATGGCTCTCCATGCGCAACGAACCCACCTTTTGTGGAAACGTGCAGGTATTATACCCACCTTTCAATCCTCTATTCTTGCCTCCACTCATCGTTATTATTTCTAGTTCAGTATTCTTTCTTCACGTCCTTTGGCTTTTCGCCCTTCACCTTCCATTCTTGCCCTCTTCCTCCGCTCTTCGCCGTAGGGCCTCTCTTGGTGTCAGATCGCGGGGCTTCGCTGGCTGATGAAGTGGCGGCACTCCTTATTGCGGTAGTCGTAGGTCTGGACCCTGCCCCGGCCTTTCCTGTATACGTGACTTCTTCTTCCACTCCCGACGTCTCGCCCCCGTCCTTCTCCTTCAACAAATTATGAATATACGGACTCTTGGCGTCGTCACTCTTCACGAACGCGGAGGGCACCCTCGGCATATCCTTCCCCTGCCTCGGCCTCTGTCTGCCACTCCTTCCCTCACTGACCCCGGACTCGCTCGCCTTATCCGTTTCTTCAACTGGGGTTCGGGATCGTGTTCCGGGAACATCCTCGCATGCTTCCGATGCGTTGGCATTGTCCCCTATTACATCCACGTCCGCAGTATTATCGAACACGTGCACCTTCTCCTCGTCATCTTCCTTCTTGATCCATAGACTTCCTCCTTCGTCCACAGGTTCCCTTCCCTCCCTACTGGAGCTCCTTGAGATGTGGATCTTGTGCCTGAGAAGCATATCACTTGGATCTTCTCCGATGGTATTCATACCTGTGACCGGATATTCGTACCCTGCGTTATCATTCGCCCATCTCATATTCGGTGTAACGCGTTTCGCACCGCTGGGTCCTTCTGCTGACCACCCCAGGGTCATCCCTCCCATGGGTACCCTCGCCACGCTATCAGGATGTATTTTCGCTACTCCCTGCCTCCTCGCTCTGCTCGTCAGATGTCCAACAGCAATCTCATTTGGCCTATTAAAGCCCATTCTCATACCTGGCGTATTCTTGATCGCTGCGATCGTATTCCTGCAATCCTGTATGTCAGCCTGTACAGGCAGAGACGTTCTGTCCTTGTATCTCGGCCTGAAGAACTTCCTCCGATATTCATCTTCGGGATCCTTCATCTGCTGCTGCACTTCCTTTTGGATCTCAAGGGTTCCCTGTATCTGTTCTAGGAGAAACTTCTTTACTGCCTCGGCACCTGGGTATTTCTTCCACGGTTCATTGTTCAACCCCCCACTCACGCTCGCTAGCACCTGCAAGCTGAGGTAGTGGCCTATCCTTCTCAGACATCCTGCCGGGTATTTTATGAATCTCATTCTTGCTGCTGCGATCGACGTCATGATAGGGTGGGAGTACATCACCTTGAATGACGTAACATCTCCTCCCGTCGCCTCGTCAATTGCTCTATCTCTATAGTTCATCACGTCCATAATCGCCCGTGCAAGTTCGATATCGAGGATCATCGCATGCGCTGCGGCGTCTTCCAACTCAAGCCGGTACACACCTGGCTGCGAGACTATTATCTCGGCCTCCGGACTGGCCCCTATTCTGAATGCCAGCCACCAGTCTTCCGCAGGATTGGCGCTCGCTATTATTCCGGCTATCACTTTCTTGTCCATGATATCGAGCCTATCTGTCACCAGCCTCCACTTGACATCCTTGTGCAGGTCCCTGATCTTCCGCTCCATATGTACTTTCCACCCCATCTTCCGTCCCTGTATTGGCATCCCCGTCTCGTGGGAGAACATCATCCCTCGGTAATAGTCGATGAACGATGGTATTGGCTTCGCGCACTCCACACAGAACGTCACTCCCTTTGTGGTATTCACTAAGCAACACGGGCATGCGGTCAGCTCCGGCTTCGGAATATTAACCACTCGTATCTCGTCGCCCGATCCCATCCTACTCGCACCAAGTCCTGCATGATCTTATTCAAAGTTGGCTCATATTCTTCATCCTGACTCACTCTCGGTGGGACGTCGATCTCGAACTCCCTCATGTATATTGCGGTAAACGTCTCCTCAAACCACACCGCTTTCCAAAACGCCTGCACCAGGGGTGTAGTAACAGTGAGCCTCCCTCGCCTAGTGAGGAATACCTCACCTCCCATCAGTGCGTAAGCCCTCACGTCGACGGCTATTCCAATCTTTCTTCCACGGTATGCAGCCTGCCTGAGGTCGTCGGTCAGCCACTGCGGTGTCTTCTCGTGCTCGTAAACTATCTGAGGTACGTCCTTCAGCGGCTTTGGTTCTGCGCTGTATTTGGTCCAGTGCGGTATCATCGCTATGTCATATGCATTGAGCACGTTCTCCGTAGAATCCCTATGCCAAATGTCAAGAACAATATTAAAATGCCCCGCCTCAGGGTATATGGTTCCTCTTCTCGCACAGAATGCCCAGAACTCATCCGACATCACCATGTATGCAGTTTCCGGAAGGCTACCTGGAGCTACCTTCATCCACAGCTTCTCGTCGGTCGGCGACCCGGCGAGCTGCGATATTATCTCCTTGTCTTTGGGGCGTCTCATTTCGCTCGTCGGTCTAATGCCATAGATCTCCGATATTCGCAGTCGATCGTCACTCCCTTTCCCAACTTTTCCTTCAACTTCCACCCCGTACTTTTGTGCCAGATATGCGACTCGGAATTCGTCGTTTGGTCTCATGGGATATGTTGACCGTGCCTCCAGTTCCGTCCTCACAACATCCCATGGTATCCTCGAGCCTGCGTATTCTTCATACATCGTTTTGTTCTCGAACAACGTCGGGGAATGCATTTTGGCAGCGTCCATCATCTGTGTCTTGACCTTATTCCTGTACTGGCATCTCTCTCTAAGGTCATTGGGGTATTCTTCGCTGCCCCATGCCGCAATCTCTGCCACCAGTCTCGCCATCTCCTCATACACCATACCCAGAGACTCCAAAAGTCTTTAAATTTAAGAAAGACCCTTAATTAAAAAAAAACCCGCTGAAATCAGCCCTTAAACAAAGGATATTAGCTTAATTAAAGGTTAAAGTGTAAAACCAAACCTTAATTAGAAGGTTTTTCGCCTTAATTAAGAGTTGTGCGGTTCGAAGAAGCGCTTTTGCCTTAATTAGAGGTTTTTTTGGTGCATTCTTAATTAAAGGTTTTTGGTGTGGTACATGCAAGATGATGTCTCGTGACAGAGGCTAAGAAAGCACGGTCTGAAGCCTTTTTTTGACTGAGCTGGCTCGCAAAAGTGGTGGTTTTGGATTGCTTGCTGCAAACTTCTGCAACATTGCCCTTGAAACTCCGAGCACGCTGAACTCCCCGCCCCTGCGAACAGCATGCTTCGACAATGTGCGCCCAAACGATTCGTCCCGGTACGACCACGTTCTTCGTGGGTTCGCAGGCGAGGCAGCAATTTCAAGAAAGGCATGAAGCTTTGGCTTGGCCCGGAAAAGCTTCTGCCCCGGCAGCGAGGTTAGCTTGACGAAGAGAACTGCAAACCTGCGAGCTCGGGCTTCCAGAACCTCTCTTTTCCAGACACTGTCATGAAGACAGTCGTAGCAGCTTTCCAGAACCCTCGCAGCACGTCGCATGGTCACCTCCATGTCGGAGTCGGTGACACAGTACTTCTCCACGAGCTCCCTGCAAAAAGGAACCAAGGCTCTGGTCTCCCCTGCCTTGGCACGAAGCTTGGGCCAGCTTCTTTTCTTAGCCTTCTTGTCTTTTTGTAGCATGCCGGGAGTGAGGGTGTTCAGTCGGTCTTCCGCTTCTACCCGCTTGTAGAAGGTCTGCATCTGCTTGAACAGTTCATTGCACTGCCCGTTGAAGCTGGCTCCTGGCATGTAGGTCTCGGCCACATGCTTGAAGCAGGCTCCGAGGAAGTCCTGACTTATCCCCAGATCCACTGCATGCAACCAATCCCACTTGCAGCACGTGCTCTTGAAGCCCGGCGACGAGAAGAGAACACTAGGTTCATGGCCTTCGTCTCGCTGCCTCTGAAGAAACTGCTCTGGGGTCAGTCGCTGCGACCTGCAGGCATGAGCAAGACACAGAGAAACAAACACATGGACACTTTGAAGGAGACCCTCCTCACAACAGGAGGACCTCCTGAACATGAGGCGAAGTGAAATTTTCAAAACACCGTCCTCCACGCTGCATCCGACCCAACATCGTGCAAGGTTGCTAAAGTACATGAACATAGAAAACATACGGGGCCCTTTCCTTGCCATCCAGGGAATCGCAGCACGTCTTTGAACATGGACCAGTCCCCTCTGACTTCCGACAGAGCACAATGCATGCCGATCGCACTTCCGGCTAATCGTTTCCTTGCAGCATCGTCCTGTGTGAAAGGCTTGTTGTCATGTCTCTGCTGTGGGAAGCGACCGAAGAGCAAGCACCGCATGCTCCACACTATGGGCTTCAAGACCGAATCCCATGTCTTTCCTTTCGCAAGGAAAAACTTGGGGAAGCAAGTGACTGGTAAACGTACGTCCTGATACTCTTTCGGGAGGCTTGGGAAGTTCATGCTGATGCATTCCAGACTCTGCGACCTGTCGTGGTTGAATGGGACGCCATCCATCCAAAGGCCCAGAGCCACCACATCCCTGAGACCAAATTGGGTCTCGAAACCCCTCAAGTGCTCTAACAAGTCCTGTCTGCTTGGCAGAGTCTCTTCTTGCAGCGCCACTATGTCCGAGGACTCGCTGACTTGCAGCATGGCATGCACCATCTCGTGGGGCAAGTAATACGCCAACCTCATGGTCTTCTCTGTTCCAGACTTTACATCCCATCCCAGGACTTCTGTTTCGTAAGGCTTTGGCCAGAGGCTACTCTTGAGGGCCTTTCGCAAAAGGTCGCGGTGGGAGTTTTTGCATCCCTCCGGCTTCGCCAGATCCTGCACATGTGCAGAGCCTGCAAGGGCTGCATGGTGGAAGAGTCTCTGAGCTCTCATGCCGGAGACGTCCCCACTCACAAAGAGGTCCAGTGCATCCACTCTGAAACGTCGCTTGTTCGGGACATTGTCCAAGTCAGCCACAGGTCTTTTCTTATCCATGGCCGTAGCATCTGAAGCCAAAATGGCTGGCAGGATTCGCACGGAATGCTGCATAGAACGAACGAAGTAAGGAGGGCCCTCCTCGACAGGAGGGCCTGCCTGTGTGCTATCTGCAAAACATGCAGGCTCCGATTTTTTAACTCCACTGCACGGAAGGTTGCAGCTCCAAAGCTCTGTACGATGTAGCAAGCATGCGATTGCATCTTGCTGGTTGTTGGACGACCATTCCCTGCAGGGGAACGTTGCAAAATGTCGCCTCTGGCCGATGCTAGAAAAAACTAGATGCCGGCGACCAATTTCCACTGCTTCAGAAAGCCTGCGACCACGTTCTGGTGCTGTTCGCACTCGGTGATCAAGTCACCTGTGGTCTTCACCAGCTTCTCGAGGTCCACACTGCTGTCCGCCGGATCCACACGGTTCATGGTAGCCGTGCTTTGTCTCAGCTTTGTGCTGAATTCCTCCAGGGTCTGCATCTTCTTGTCGATGTCCTGGCAGATCTGGGAGTACATCTCCGGGGACAGACTGAGCAGAATACTGGAGATATCGAGGCCTTCCTGGTGCAGCTTGTTGAGCTTCGGCTTGTACTGCTTAAGCAGCAGGACGTTCTTGTTGAAGGCACCCTTCATGTCCACCTCAATGCTGGAAGTGGCACCACTGCCGAAGGCATCCATCAACGAGCCCAATTCACCATCCATGGTTCCCGTCTGACTGTGCCGAGTCGTGTCGGTGGCAGAGTCTCTCTCTGTGCTCTCCTTCTGCATCTTGTAGAAGTAGCGATGCAGGAGTTTGTTCTTGTGCGGCTGCTCTTGCCTGGTGTGCTTGAACCTTTCCTCGGACTCTCTCAGGAGGTCCTGCAAGGTGTCGGCTGCCACCTGCTCTGAAAGGTTGCTTTCGTTCAGGCCATTGAGCTCCAGGATTTTGGACCTTTGCGACCAAATCTGTGAAGGCACCAACCCACACCCAACAAAAAGAAATATTACTGCAGCCAAGCCACCGGGTCATGAAGCCTTTCACAAACTCATTCGCTTCCTCGTGTTGAACCTCCGTGTTCTTCGTCAGCTCGTTGGCCCAGTCCAAGCAGTGCATGCCACTCTGCACAAGCTTCTCCAAGATCTTGCTCTTGCCACTCACGTCTGCTGCCTTGTAGTCGCTGAGGATCTTCGCTGCTGCTGCTCTGTGCTCGGGGGTGGCTTTCTTGGCCTTGCACTGGTAGGACAGCGAGGTCAGCAGTCCCGACAGCTGGCCTCTCTCCATGCCGATCTTGCCCACTGCTTCTGTTGGCTCGGTCTTCACTGCTTGCGACTTGGGTGTGGGCGCCTTGGCCGTCCCCTTGGCAGCGGCCTTGGGCTCCCTCTTCACTGCTTTTGCAGCAAACTTGCCCGAGGAGGTCGCAGGCTTAGCCGTCTTAGCCATTGCAAGCAAGCGAGTTCTTCTAAAGTGGAGCACGAGGGAACCGGTACCTTTGAGCACTCTGGGCACTGATGGGCATTGTCGGCCAGAGTATGTCTGGGCTTTGAAGGAGTGGCCTCCTTGTGTCGCAGGAGGCCACTCCTACACCTGATGCTGCATCCCGTACTGAGGACAAAAAAAGAAAGATAGAGAAAGAGCACCAGACACAGAGAGAGAAAGTTTGTATACATGTTTCCACGTACATATCTATACAGTTGTACACGTACATATATATATATATATATATACATATATATATACAGATATAGAGATATGTATGCATACACATGTATATTTCTGTGTATGTCTATTTTGGGTTATTTATCGATATATATATATATATGCTATCTGCAAATATATAGATATGTATATATATATATATACATCAATATATATATATATATATATACATGTATTTAAGTATACACATATGATATATATATATATATATGCATACATAAACACACCGGGGGGGGGGGTTGTGTAGGGTGTCGGGTTTAGGGTCCTAGGGTCCTGAACCTTAAACCCCAGACCCTAAAGCTTAAACCTTAGAGCTTAAACACCAGACCCCTAAACCTTAAACCTTAAACCCTAAACCCTAAATCTGAAACCCCTAACCCTAAACCCTAAACCTTAAACCTTAAACCCGACACCCTAAACTCCAAACCCTGAACCCTAAATCCTAAGCCCTAAACTCTGAACCCTATAAACCCTGACCCTAAACCCGAAACCCTAGACCCTAAGCACTAACCCCTAAACCCGAAACCCTGAGCCCAAACCCTTCAACCCAAACCCTGAACCTTAAACCCCAGACCCTAAACCTTAAACCTTAAAGCTTAAACGCCAGACCCCTAAACCTTAAACCTTAAACCCTAAACCCTAAATCTTAAACCCCTAACCCTAAAAAAGCCTAAACCTTAAACCTTAAACCCGACACCCTAAACTCCAAACCCTGAACCCTAAATCCTAAGCCCTAAACTCTGAACCCTAAACCCTGACCCTAAACCCGAATCTAGACCCTAAGCACTAACCCCTAAACCCGAAACCCTGAGCCCAAACCCTTCAACCCAATCCCTGGACCCTAAAGCCTAAGCATAAAACCCCAAACCCTGAAGGCCTAAACCCTTAACCCCGAACCCTAAACCCTAACCCCTAAGGCCTAAACCCGGCAACAGGAACCCGAGACCCCAAACCCTGAGGCCTCAAGCCTTAACCCTAAACCCTAAACCCTAGACCCTAGGGTCTACCCTAAAGACTAAACCCTAAACCACAAGGCCCATACTCGAAAGCCTGAAGAGTGCCACTGTCGCCGAAACCCGTTCAAAAAACGTTAAAATTTTTAACTTTTTTTAACATAATTTTTAACAGCCTTTTCCTTTAGTTTGCCTTCTAAATCCATGTTAAAAATTGTTAAAAAAACGTTAAAAATTTTAACGTTTTTTGAACAGGTTCCCTCGGCAGTGGCACTCGAACGAACTCCAGACACACTATTCTTTTTGCGCGCTCCACCTCGGATCTGCATGCTGCCTGAGCGAAGCTCCGGAAGATGATGCTGCTAAGCCTGGATCACACGTGAACTGTCACGAACTGACACAAGCTGCAGAAGTCTTGACACAATCTTTGTACTTGCTTGGCTTGCATGACAAGCAGCTCTCAGCTGGTGCACCGACGAGGCTCAATCTGTCTTCTGCTTCCTCCAAAAACAAGACACGGACAAACCTTAAACCCTAAACCCTAAACCCTAAACCCTAAACCCTAAACCCTAAACCCTAAACCCTAAACCCTAACCCCTAAACCCTAAACCCTAAACCCTAACCCCTAAACCCTCAACCCTAAACCCTAAACCCTAAACCCTAAGTTTATGCAATGCACTGCAGAGCATGGCTTCCACTGTAGTCCTGGGATCATGGGCATCGGCTTGGTCACCACGGCCTGCCAAAACCAAAAAAAAAGGAGCGCTCCTCCTCAATAGGAGAAGCCCTCCTGCAACTGAATTTAAAAGCATAAGTAGTGCAGCTGGGCCTGCTGCCTCCTCGGGACCTGGTGGACCACTGGCCTGACCAAGAGGCTGCATGGATAACAAACCCGAAACAAAATCATACCCTTCACAAAAACAAATTGCCTCGGGACCCTCATCATCCACGGCAACCGGCTGGCTGTCCCCAAGCCCTGCCGGGGAGTGGCTTGCTTGTTTGGCAGCACACAAGCAACAGGACCTCAACTATTGCTGGCCAAGGAGCATTCCGAGGCTGGCTTCGTCTTGGCAATCTTACTGGGGGGACCGGTCTCCTCATGAGCAGACAAGGGCAAAGGGCAAAAGCTTCGAACGAACTAAGAAGGAGGCCCTCCTCGACAGGAGAGCCTCCTGTGCGAACAATTCTGCATGTATCCTCGTCCGGCTCGCCATCCACTTTGGTCCAGCTCTGATAGCTCCGCATGGAGGCTGGCGACCCGTCCCTCCTCTTCTCTGCTGCTTCGCAGCTCCTGCCCCTCTTCTCTGGAGGTGCCTCGTGTGAGAGAGCACACAAAGCACATGCATGTCTCTATGCAGACACAACAGTGTAGCCACACAGTGCAGCCCAGTAGCCGGTGGAGGGTTCTTCGGGATAACCAGGGGCCTGGCCTTGGGCTTCGGGTGCTGCTGGGCCTTGGCTTCGCGGGAACAAAGAAAACACAAGCAACACAGGAAACTCTGAAAGTCTTTCTGCCGGAAAGGCACCGCTTCGGCTTGCTCTTGGCCCTCTTGGCCTGGATCTTCTTCCTCTTCATCACTCGGTGGCTGAAACTCCGGCTCACCGGCATCCTTCCACCCCTTGACCTTGGCCCACCACACCTTTCGCTGCTTGCCCCTGTTCTTCTTCTTCTTCTTCGCCAAGGTGGGCTCAATGTAGTTGGCAAACTCCTTCAGGTCCCACCGGCCTCCACTGCCCTTGCTGTAGGGATCCCAGAGGTTCTCTCGGTTGGCCGAGTAGATGTAGAGCTCACCTTAGCGAGGAGACCCTCCTATACAGGAGACCCTCCTATACAGGAGAACCTCCTAAAAACTGCAAGGCTCAACTTGAAGGAGACCCTCCTAGAGTGAAGGAGAGCCTCCTGAAATCTGGATGCTGACATGTTGCACTTTGTGTTTAGGCAGCCACCCTCCCGCACATAGGACCAGTTGTGCTTGCATTTCTTGCACTTTCTCACATCGATGCCGGACATGTCATTGGGGTCCTCGTCCCACGGGTCGTCGTCCTTCTTCCACCACTGGGAGCCTTCACCCTTCTTGTCGTGGCCACGATCCTTCCAGCTGGAGCCCCACCCCTCAGCGACAGGACTGCAGAGAACCCTGGGCAACAATCTGAGCACACAAAATGCAGCCAAAACTAATGCAGCCAAGCGACACCAGAACCAGAACCTGACTGATGATGCCAAGACATCCCTGCTTGTGGCAGACAGAGGTCTGGGGCTGCACTGAAGGCTTTAGCTTGGGCCGAGAAGCTGGCTGGCAGGCAACGAAGCTCAAACAACAAGTCTCACCTGCACTGCACCTCACAGCATCTCCTCCTACTCTGCATGCACTGCACACTCTCATGCATGAGTCACTCCAGCAAGCAGATCTGCCACAGAACCTCTTAAATGAAAACATGTTAAGCAAACGGAAAACAAATCTGAAATTTCGTATCTACCTAAAAGTATTTCATCGGCAAATCAGAGGGTGTGTGTTCTTCTTTTAAGCTTCGAAGCCACTCGCGAAACGTGCAGGCTCTTAATGGCCTGCAGCAGGAAGTGGGAAACTTGAGCCTGAGGCTCCATGCCCACCCTTGCCACCTTTGGGACGGCTGTGCTTCCAGTCCTTGTAGCACACGTGGCAGGAGCATCTGCCGACATGATCTTCGCATGCAGTCCTCCGAGTACACAGCCTCGATTGGCAGTGCGAGCATGGTCCTTTTGGAGCTGGTGCAGCAGGACGAGGCATCTGTTCCATGACCAGCTCGTGCAAACGAAGCACCTGGTAGTTCGGCAAGCTTCGAAGCCACTCGCGAACTTGGGCATCCGTCATCGCCCCCAGATCCATGCCGGGGAGCCAAGCTATATAGGTTCCAGGGACAAGTCTGACCTTCTAATTTTTGAGCCCAAACCTTCCTGCATGGAGCATAGGTATTTGCAACAGGAAGCATGCATGCAGCTGACCTGCCCTGCCATTCAAGCTCAAGGTAGGAGAGGTCCTCCTAAAGAGCTAGGAGAACCCCTCCTGCACACCAAACATGCAAGGCCGACGATTTGTGCGAGCACCTGATGCCAAAACTGCCCTATTCCAGGCGAGACAAGATCGAGTCAAAATCGATCAGTCCTCTGCCAATGCGAATTTCAGCTGCCGGGCACGATTGAAAGTGAGCTTATCCTTTTGGATTCGCTTCACTGCTTTCGCAGCTTTCTCGACATGATCGGCATACTTGGCTGCTTGAAATTCTACGATGAGTTTCTGCCTATGCTTGGACCCGTCACAGTAGCAAGCAGTCACATATGTCCTCGGGGGCTTCTTGGCAGTGCTCTTCCGGACGAGATGCAAGATGGTTTCCTCCTGCTGCTTCGCCTCCGCCAACTGTGCAGCTTGGACATCCACCTCTGACGACTTGGGCACTTCTGCTGTCTCTGCACCTGCCGGCTTCTTCTTCACTTGCCCGGCAGCAGGCTTGGTCTTCAGGGCAGCCTTCAGGACTTTCTTGCCGGTCACCCGACGTACCGGAGCAGTCAGCTCCTCGAGCTTGCCTGAGGCAAAGGCCCTCACATGGCAGCCACGACCAGCATCAAAGTAGTCCTTGAAGTCAGCTGCAGGAGGCACGTCCTCCATTTCGCCTTCCTTCTCAGGAGACACCTCCTCGCCCGAGCTCGCGATGGAGTGCAAGCTCTGCGAGGACTGCACAGCCACGACCTCCAGCAAGTCCTCTCCATCCTCCTCTTTCTGCATTGTGCGACTG